CTCTGAGCCTTTTGGTTTTGGGTTTAGGGTTTAGGGTTTAGGGGCGGTTTTGGGCTACCGGGGAGTTCTGGCCGGTTCGTGCTGAGAGGCCTGAACATCTGGCAGCCCATGTTCATGAAGAGCTTGCGATGCACTGCTTGGTAGCGTGGTACCTTTTTCCCTGGGGGGCGAGGGGTGAGGGGGGGGTCCAACCCAAAAGGGGGTACCCTCAGGAGACTGGGCTACCAAGACTCGCACAGTTCTCCAGTTGGGAGTTGCTAGAACCCGAGCTCCCTTTTTTTTCTCGGGTTATAGGTTCCCTTATAAGACCCGTTAAGCCCCAAGCGTTTTGGAATTGCTTAGGCAAAAAGCATGTGCCCGAATTTCCGTAACGCCGAGCCTCACCAATAGCCCATCCCTACCACAACGAAGCCTGGTACTCCGCCCCGGACCCCTGGAAGGATCCACAAAGTAGAACCCCCGTACCCTATTCCGAAGGCTAAGGACTTTTATTTTAGGGTTTCTGGGCACAAGAGGTTTTGGGGTTATTTTGTGCCCAAGGGCAAACTACTATTGGGTCAGTCTCCCAAACCCTAAACCCTAAACCCTTAAAGGGATCTGCTTTTTGGATCCTCCCAAAGTTTCCTGGGCTCTAACCGACGAACACGGACGTGAAAACCTGGGTGGGCTCCCAACCCTAAACCCCCTCGGAAGGCTTTAGGGTTTAGGGTTTAGGGCAGAGGGTTTAGGGTTTAGGGTTTAGGGTTTAGGGTTTAGGGTTTAGGGTTTAGGGCCATACCTGTTTGAAGACCAGAAGCCCTCAGCATGTTCCAAGAACCGGGATCTGCTGCTTTCCTTCAACCCTAAACCCTAAACCCTAAACCCTAAACCCTAAACCCTAAACCCTAAACCCTAAACCCTAAACCCTAAACCCTAAACCCTAAACCCTAAACCCTGCCTGAGTGTCAGCTGGGCGGGTGGCAAAAAAAGCCCTAAACCCTAAGCTTGGTTCATGCCATGGCCCCCGGTTGATTTTTTTTTTTCATAAATACGCCCAAGGGTATATTCAAAATATCACTTTCGCTAGTCTGTTAAGGGGAGTATAGCATGTACCCTACTAGGCATCGCTACGCGCGGGCAATACCCAATGTAAGCGCCGGACTTCAACGACTAGCGTACGGTCTTGAATGACAGGGCCCATGGTGATCAAGAGCCGGCAGAAGCAGTTCAGGGAAACCATGGAAAAGCTCCTCAAAACTCCACCAAAAAACCCGAAAACCCCACTGAGGAAAGGCATGAGCAAGGGCAAGTCCAGTGATATGACTTGCTGGGACATGAAGCGGATGCTTGGCACGCTTCAGGGACCCCTAGAAGGGGCCCTCAATCTTTTTCCCCTATATACCCCTATATACATATATACACACCTGATTTATTAAGCCCCCGTTATACCCAACTAGTCCCCCAACAAAAACCCTAAAGAACCCCTAAGGTCCCTTATAAAGGTCCCTCCTTTAGCTATTTAGTCCCTTGGCACGCCATGGTTCTTTGTTTGCGCACGTGGCCTGCCCTTGGGCTCTCGATAGATGGCTCTGTATTTATGCCTATACGTACATAAGAACATTAGGAATGATCATCCTCCCGGCGTTTTTTTTAAACACATTTAGTGCTGACATTAGTCAATGCCCTTCGTACATATACATGTGGAAGTACATGTGTAGTGTGTGTGTGCGTAGAAATCTATGCATGCATGCATGCATGCATGCATGCATGCATGCATGTATGTATGTACATGTATGTACATGTATGTATGTATGTATGTATGTATGTATGTATGTATGTATGTATGTATGTATGTATGTACATGTATGTATGTATGTATGTATGTATGTATGTATGTATGTATGTATGTATGTATGTATGTATGTATGTATGTATGTATGTACATGTATGTATATGTATGTATGTGTATGTATGTTTCTGTATGTTCATGTATGTTTCTGTATGTGTCTGTGTGCATGTGTATGTATGTGTATGTATATGTATGTATATGCATGTATATGCATGTATATGTATGTATATGTATACGTATACATTTACGTTTATGTATGCATGTACGTATACGTATACGTATTCAGTCTGTATTTTTCGTATGTATGTATGCATGTATGTATGTATGAATCTATAAATGTATACAAGCATTCATACAAGTATGTATACAAGTACAGAAAACACTTTCGCAGTTTGACGTTCATACAGACGTACTTGTAAAGACAGACAGACATACATACATGCATACTGACTCATACTGATAAGTAAATGCATATGTCAACATGCATGCTCACATGCAATGTGTACTTGCGTGTACATGTCCAGACACATATCCGCCACGCACGCGTGCATACCCGAACCCGTACATATACAGCAGATGCATATGCTCGTGCACACACAGGTCTTAAGCTCCATCTGTACTTGGAGTTCATGGTACTTATAAACCAATTATAAGTGTACTTATAACTGCGCTTATAACCATGTTAGGGCTCTCCTAGGCCTCGGAAACTTAGCAAAAACCCTGATCCCCAAGACCCTACAAGCCTCAACACCCTGTAAGCCATGCCAGTAGCCATGCGCAGCTTTGGAGGACGGTTTGAAAGTTTGGCGCTTGTGGGCTTAGGGTTGGGTGCTTGCGGGCTTCCCTTCAGAACCCCAATGGCTACCCTTTAACCCTCGAAACCCTAAACCCTAAACCCTAGTTAAACCCTAAACCTGAATTCCTCCCTAGAGAAGTCAGCCCGTACATAGGGGTTGCGCGAGGCTTGGGTTCCTAAGGGAGGGGGGTCAAGGTGTGCAACCCAAGCTTCCCTTGTACTCCCTATAAGCTCAAATTGTCTAGGTACCGACCCCCCTTGAATCAACCCCCCCTCCCTGAAGAACCCTAAACCCTAAACCCCAAACCCTAAACCCCAAACCCTAAACCCTAAACCCTAGAATTGGAGGCCCGGAAGCCTCGAAGTTTCCAGCCCGCGACTTGCCCAGGACAGGGACTTGTCCCCGCGGCGACGCCGAGCTGCGGTTTAGAGTTTTTTTTGCGCTGAACTGTATACTTACCCTAAACCCTAAACCCTAAACCCTAAACCCTAAACCCTAAACCCTAACACTTTCTGGGTTTCCTTATCTAGTAAGAAGGATCAAGCCCTGCTTCGGGGGTCTTTCTTTTTGTTTGGTTTCCTTAAACACTTAGTAGGAGGAAGGCAGTTCAACCTTGTTCTGGCTTGGTGATTGGAAAAGTAAGGTTTAGGGTGTAAGGCTGGGAGCTGTTGCCTCAGCCCAGAACCCCTAAACCCTGAACCCTAAACCCTAAGACCATCGCCCTGATCCTCAAACCTTAAGAACTTGTTCACGCCCTCAACCCTAAACAGCACCCGAAACCCTAAATCCTATGTAGCCGTATAAGCCTAAACCCTAAGCCCTAAACCCCAAACCCTAAACCCTAAGCCCCCCCTGTAAGGACGCATGCAAGTTCCAGCACGACTTCGCCGCCTGACGCGCGCTGGCTGTCGGCTGCCGGCTGCGGTGCTCTGAGCGGGGCCCATGAATACTGCAATGCCCTACGAGCCCTGTATTTTTTTTTTTGGGTTTAGGGTTTATAGGGTTCAGGGTTTAGGGTTTAGGGTTTTTAGGGTTCAGCGTTTAGGGTTCAGGGTTTAGGGTTCAGGGTTTAGGGTTTAGGGTTTAGGGTTCATAAGGGCCCATGCACCTCATACTTGTCCCCCCCAAAGTTCGAGCCTCAGCGCCCCGATACATCAAGGTGGATGCTTGACAGATGACCTTACATCCAAAGATTATAGGGTTCATGGTTTTCCCGAGTTTTGTGTAGGTGTATTTTGGCTGCCGAAGGAGGGTTAATACGTGCCATGGCATCAGTCCCCGACTACACGTGCTTAGCATGTTAGATAAGCGAGGAGCCCTCCCTGCACGAAAGCTGGCCTGGTTTCGTCAATCCAAACCCTAAACCCCTAGACCCCTAAACCCCTAAACCCTTAAACCCTTAACCCTAAACCCTAACCCTAAACCCTAAACCCTAAACCCTAAACCCTAAACCCTAAACCCTAAACCCCAGCTCCTTCTCAACCCTTTGAGCCCTAGATCCCCCAAAGTCTGCGACAACAGGAGCCTTCATGCTCCGAGTGCCAGGCCGAGGCATCCCAAAGGCGACAAGCTTCCTCGCGCGGCTTATGCGTTGTAGGGTTTAGGGTTTAGGGTTTAGGGTTTAGGGTTTAAGGTTTAGGATTCAGGGTCTTGTAAAAAGGGTCTAGGGTTTGGGACTGAGGTTTATAGGCTCATGATGGGGAAAGTCGTAAATATTGTTGAAGAAAGCGAGTTCAGTAGTTTTACAAGCGAGCTTATGAAGTAAAACGATGAACACATGAACGCAACATGCGTCTTCAAGCTTATTGAGAGCCTGCAAGCCAGCGAATGAGAACTATTGAGTGCAGCAAGAACGTGCCAAATAATGAAGGTCTTCTCACAGAATCGTTTGTTTATTTATATAGTGGTAGTTATCACTAGGGTCGCACGCCTAAACAATAGCCAGTTAAAACCCAAGCCATAAACCCCTGTGTGCCTAGAGCTCCGGGTTAGAGGTTAGGCTGAGGCTTGAGAAGGTGTATAGGGTTTAGGGATTATCAGGTGTAGGGTGTAGGGTTTCGAGGCGTTTTGGGTTTAGGGTTTAGGGTTTAGGGTCAAGAAGTGTAGGTATTTAGCCTGTGAGTCGGTTCTTCATGCCCTGCTTAGAGTTTAGGGTTTAGGGCTTAGGGTACACAGAAGCCTGTTGCACAAGCTTTATAGGGTAGGGTTCATGCGTGTTCAGGTTGCGTGTTTTGGGGTCGATGGTGAGCGGGGGGGGATGGCGGGAGCGCTCATTCTTTGGGCCCGGCTTTTGGCTCTCAGAGGTAGTTCCGCCCGCCCCCGACTCTGAGTTGGCCTTAGCGTATAGGCACCGCGGCTCCAGTGTGTGGGGAGCCATGGGCGAGACCTGGCATCACGGTGTAGGGTTTAGGGTTTAGGGTTGGGGGGGGTACGGTATTAGGATTGGCCCAAATCAAGAGACCCCTACATCGCCACACGGCGGTCTTCATGTAGGGGTCGGAATAGCTACTGATAGTATTCCCTTGGGTTATGCTGTTACAATGACCCCCCCAAACCCTATTCTAATTAAGGCCCCTATATTAGGGGCGGAGGGTGGATTTAGGGCTTTGGGCTTTTAAGGGCTTAGGGCATCAGAGAGCTCCCCAAGCCACCACTTAGACCATCATGATTGCACACCCTTCTTGTTTACTTGCATCATCCGGGTCACATCCCCTCACCCTAAACCCTAAACCCTAAACCCTAAACCCTAAACCCTAAACCCTAAACCCTAAACCCTAAACCCTAAACCCCCCTTCTGGGCCGTGTTTTTTTGCGAGGGACAACACCTTTGGAGACTGAGGAGAAAAAGGAGAAGATCAAGACCAAGGCCTCCAAGGACGTACCGGTCTTACGGGGAGAGAGTGGGGGCTCGCAAGGGTTCAGGGTCCAGGGTTTGGGGTTTGGGGTTTAGGGTTTAGGGTTTAGGGTTTGGGATTCAGGGTTCAGGATTCAGGGTTTGGGGTTTTGGGTAAACTTGCTGCGTAGCTTTCACTTCTCCAGCTCCGGATGCAAAAAAGAAGGTTCGGGTATACTGCCAGGACTGAACTAGGACTCGTTAACGTTCAGGACACTATGCTTAGAGTGTTTGTGTGTCGCATGTGTGTTTTTGAGGAGTTCGGGTTCGCGCAGGGTCCTAATCCCTAACCCCTAAACCCTAAATCCTAAACCCTAAACCCTTGGAGATGGTGCTGCAGAAACCCTTGTCAATTGTCGCCAAGCACAGACTGATCGGAGGAAGCCATGCGATGGGCCGACGGGGACACGGAAGGCGTGAGAGCACCGCCTTTTTTTGAAACCCTAAACCCGAAACCCTAAACCGGGTTGCAAGCCGGTTTTTTTGGCTGGAGTTGCTGGAGGTTCTGCTCAGAGACTCTTGCATTAGGGTCTATAGGGTTTAGGGATTAGGTTTAGAATCTACTCAGAGACTCTTGTGTTGAGGTTTTTGTGGCCCTACGGAAAAAAAAACACGGGCACGTGGGTTACTGCAAGGCAATGCTGGAGCGTGAAAAATGGTGCTTCAGGGCCTTCTTTCTACCGTTGCATTGGGTTTCCGGAAAACCACACTGACCGTGAACCCTATCGGGCTTGAAGCTGAGGGTCCCTTATAAGCCCCTTCAAAGCAAAAAGGGTCCCCTTCTTACTTCTGGGTCTAGGTGAAAAAGGGCAACCCTGAACCCTATCAACCCTATAAACCCTACAAACCCTATAACCCTTACAAATGCTATAAGCCCTATAAACCCTACAAACCCTATAACCCTTACAAATGCTATAAACCCTATAAACCCTACAAACCCTGTCGGGCTGGAAGCCCCAACGCCTTGTCAGGTCCGATCGAACGCGGCCCCACAGAGGCGGGTAACGACTTCGACATCCGACCCTCGGCAGCATGTCGTGGGGACCCTAGACCCGAAACCCCAAACCCTAAACCCTAAACCCTAAACCCTAAACCCTAAACCCTAAACCCTCTGGGGTTTAAGACTTTTTGTCGGCCCCTATATGGCTGAAGGAGGTGTATCCTGTTCGTAGGAGAATGATACAGGCAGTTCGAGCCTGTTGTCTCGAGAAGCTGAGCTGTCGAAAGTTTCCTACACCCTAAACCCCTGGAATCCCAGGACCTCAGGCTGTAAAACAGGGTTTTCACCCTGCGTGTAGCTCAGCACTCTCTTTGCTTCCGCCCTAAACCCTAAACCCTAAACCCTATAAACCTTAAACCCCTTCACATTGGGATCCTAAACTCAAAGGCCTAGACCCCTAATTATTAGGGTTTAGGGCCTAGGGATGTTTTGGCTTAGGGATGCTTATGGCTCTTTACCCCTAAGGGTCCATGGGTACCTAAATAGGGACTACTTGGGGCCTTAAGGTATTCTTAGGTGCTTCCTATACTGAGGTACATGGACCCCCAAAAAATACCCCTCTAGGAGTCCCCAAAAAACACCGAGTCCCCTTACCCTCAGGCCCAAAACATACCCCCGTAGGAGTCCCCCCCAACAAAACGGCTTTGTAGGAGTCCCTTACCCTTAAGCCAAAAAATGTACCCCCCCGTAGGAGTCCCCAAGCTCCCCTAGAAGCCCAAGATCCAGGGATGCAGGATGAGCCAGATGGGATGCAGCCTGATGGCACAGAGATGCTTCGTTAGGGTTTCTGGGGTTTCTGTATAGGGGGCGGAAAAAGGAGGTTTATGGGGGTTGCTAGGAGGTTTAGGGGGTTTATGGCTAGGGGGTTTATAGGATTTATATCGGGGATTTGTAGGGTTTAGAGAGGGTTCTGGGGGTTTTCTTGGGGTTTTAGGGTTTGGGGCTCTTGGGTTACGGCGGATGGGTTTCGGGTATTTTGGGTTCAAGGTTCCTAGGAGTCCCTTCCCCCACCCGCATGACCCGGTGCAGCCTTCTTCGATCAGAATGGAGCTCCCTTAATCACCCCCAACGCAGAAACTGGGTTCCCTTTCTTGGTGCCCCAGCGGTCTAGGATATTAACAGGGCTTTTCGGTAGGGTTTAGGGTTCAGGGTTCAGGGTTCAGGGTTTAGGGTTTAGGGTTTAGGGTTTAGAGGATTTAAGCATTATAATGGGCTGCTCCTCAGGCTCGCCGCGCAGAAGATCGTTCAGGTTCTCAAGGAGACGTGCACGTCTTGCGCGGAATGGAGGGCCGCAGGCTAGAGGTAGGTTTAGGGTTTGGGCTTTAGGATGTAGGATTTAGGGCTTGGGGCTTGGGGCTTAGGGCTTGGGGCACATCAAGAGCTGCTCAGGCTGTAGGATGACCCTGAACCCTAAACCCCAAAACCAAAACCCTAGACCCTGAACCCTGAACCCTAAACCCTAAGCCTAAACCATAAACCCTAAGCCCTAAACCCTAAGCCCTAAACCCAAACCCTAAACCCTAAACCCTAAACCCTAATAAACCCTAAACCCTAAACCCTAAACCCTAAACCCTAAACCCTAAACCCTAAACCCTAAACCCTAAACCCTAAACCCCAACCTCACAGCTTCCAGCTTCGAAGGAGAAGGGCGTCTGCCTTGTGCAAGCCAACGCTCCCAAGGAGATCGTGCCGGGGCGAAGATACCGGAGTCCTCCTTAACCCTGATTAGGGTTTAGGGTTTAGGGTTTAGGGTTAGGGTTTAGGGTTTAGGGTTTGGGGTTTGGGGTTTAGGCTTTAGGGTTTTAGGGTGTAGGGTGTAGGGCTTGAGAAGTGACATGATTTCTCTCCGGGTTTGTGGCCATGAGGACGGTTTGGGGTTTAGGGAACAGGTTTTCGGGTCTAGGGCTTATTAAGGTTTAGGGTTTCGGGCTAGTCTAAGGGGGCATTTAGGGTTAAATGCCAAGCCCAACAAGACATTACACATCATGTTTATTGCTGTGGATTTATACGGGGCGGGGCCTAGCGGTTGAGAGGGAGAGAAGGTTTAGGATGCAAACGGCCTGTGCCTTCATTGAATCACCCCTGCACCCTAAATCGGCCTAAACCCCAAACCCCAAACCCCAAACCCCAAACCCCAAACCCTAAACCCCAAACCCTAAACCCTAAACCCCAAACCCCAAACCCGAAACCCTAAACCCTAAACCCTAAACCCTAAACCCTAAACCCTAAACCCTAAACCCCAAACCCTAAACCCTAAACCCTAAACCCTAAACCCAATCCTTTCTGCAAGACGCGAGTCGAAGCCGAGGTCTTCACTGCCCTGGATGAGGCGGAGAGCCTCTGGGAAGAAGGCTGGCAGTCGGGGAGGGTTTGCTGGGTTTAGGGTTTAGGGTTTAGGGTTTAGGGTTTAGGGTTTGTTGGGTTTAGGGTTTGTTGGGTTTAGGGTTTAGGGGGTTTAGGGAGTTTAGGGTTTAGGGTTTGGTTTAGTTAGTGTTTAGGGTTTTGCGTCTCGGGTTAGGGTTTAGGGAGTTTTGGGTTTAGGTTCTGACTTCAACGAGAGAACCCAATTGCTGTCCTTACAGGCTTTGAACGTGAGAATTCGACGCTTAGGGCTTGGTGGCGGGGGGGGGGGGGGGGTTGGGTTTAGGGTTTAGGGTTTAGGGTTTAGGGTTTAGGGTTTAGGGTTTAGGGTTTAGGGTTTAGGGTTTAGGGTTTAAAGTTCAGGGGTTAGGGGGGTTGCTTCAGACCCGCATCCAGCTTTCGGTAGTGGGTTCGTCAACATCATCGCCTCCCCTCGAAGGGATGCACCCCGCCCCCCTCTCCCCCTCCCCCCCCCTACCCTCCCCCGTATGAAACACGCCCAAAAACCCTAAACCCTAAACCCTAAACCCTAAACCCTAAACCCCAGAGGCGAGTTCAAGCCGCCCATGCGGGTCCACGACGACCGGAGCCTTCTGGAAGCACAGCTTTGGCGACAAGCGCTGCAGGACGCGGTTAACCTCAGGGTTTAGGGTTTAGGGTTTAGGGCCTAGGGTTTAAACCCTGAATCTAACCTTTCGTAGCAAAGTGGTGACCTTTCCTTTTCTTTGGTTCAAGGTTCCCTTATAAAGAAGCCATCCCCAACAAAAGGGTACCCTTATGCAAAGCTTGCTGGGCTACCAGGAAACCCTGAATCAAACCTTAGAAGGAGTGCTCGTCGGAAGAAATAAACATGAGGCTACAGGGTTCAGGGGTTTGGCAGATGAGCTGTCTGAAGCCACGCGGTCTCAGGGCTGCGTAGGGGAGGACACTCCTGAGGGCCGACAGCCTGTGGGGATATAAGTGTTGAGAGAGCTTGTGGTGCTTCTAGGCTTGAGGCTTACAGTGCTTTCTATTCCCCAAACCACAAAGTAATAAGGCACAAAGACGCCGCCGAACACTTAAAACACATCAGTCCGGACGCATATACTATATACACATCTAGATTTATACATGCACGGTCAATTCCCCTTTGGCCCCGGTAACCCCACACCCTTAAAATCTGGGGTAAGACACAACTAGCACCCCTAAACTCTAAGCCCTAAGCCCTTACCGCTTAGGGTTCAGGGTTTGGGGTTAAGGGTTTCAGGGTTTCAGGGTTTAGGGTTTAGGGTCAACAGGCAGGCTTGCGGATAAATGCCTTGCCAGTGTGAGCGTCGAAGGCTTGAACGTCAAAAGGACCCATATGACCCCAAGCCTCCTACACTCGCGCTAAGCCCTAACTTGCTCAACCTTTCAGAAGAACCCTAAACCCTTAACCCTACACCCCAAACCCTAAACCCTAAACCCTGATGTTGCACAGGGACCTGACCACCCCTCCCGCAGGATGTTGACAAAGCCGTTTGGATTCGACCCTCGGCCAAGCGGGAGAGTCCAGGGGGGTTTAGGGTTGAGGGTTTAGACTTTGGGTTTAGCGTCTAGGGTCTAGGAGTATACCCATATTATATGACTTGTAGACATGTAGTTCAGAGGGGGCCCCCGGTAGTTTACTGCACTCCTCAATTGAAAAACTACACTGAAGCTCCCAAAGGTCGTGCAATTAGCGTCTTGAACTAGTCAAGTAGGCGCAAAGTCCTGACCCTAAACCCTAAACCCTTAAACCCTAAACCCTAAACCCCCAAACCCTGAACCTCCGAGTCGTCACCCGAAGCCTTACAAGCGCGACGGAGACATCGCAAGCCTTGCCGCGTTGGGTGGGTTCGAGCTCCCTCCTTTCATGAGACTCTTATTGTGAAAGCTGCTCATGATCTTAGAACCTATCTAGAACCCTCTTTACCTACGGTTCTATGGGTTATATATCTACGAATTAGGGGTAGTAACTACTAAACTGTCCCATGTAAGCCCTAATTGAACCCTAGGCCCTGGGTGACCTACAACAAACCGGCAGGTGTCTCATTTCCTTCGGTTGCTCCAGGCTTCCGTGGTCTGAACTGGTGAGCCTGCCCTGAACCCCTAGAAACCCTGGCAAAAAGAAGTCCTGTACCCTCAACTCCCTAAACCCTAAGCCCCAAACCCTCAACCCTATTCCCTAAGCTCTAAGCCCTAAGCCCTAAGCCCCAAGCCCTAAGGCCTAAGCCCTAAGCCCCAAGCCCCAAGCCCTAAGCCCTAAGCCCCAAGCCCCAAGCCCCAAGCCCTAAGCCCTGCAACGCCAAAACCCTGAACTTGAACCGCCCCCTGCGTTGAGGCGAATCCGACTGCAAGGCCATCCAGCTGAAGAACGCGCTGTGCCCTGGATGAAGAGGGTTTAGGGTTTAGGGTTTAGAGTACACCGATGCAGTTTGGGATCAGGGCTTAGGGCGGGACTGTGGTTGAGGATTTGTGGTGCGAAAAGGCTTAGGGCTTAGGGTCAGGGGATGAACTCGTCAGCATTTCGGAACCTGGATTGATGAGCAACCTGGGTCCATTCCTTGCGCATGACCCGTTCACACAAGCATCGTTACTTTTGGAGCACTGGCACTTCAACAGAGCTTAAGACCCTAAACCTAAGGGCTTATGGGATGCCAGGATGCATGCGGAGGCCTTACCCCTTTTGGGTCCTCCTATGGTATCAGCATGTATAGGCCGCCTTCGAGCATCGCCAGTCATCCCATTGCCCATGGGGCACTGCGGGTCGCTTTTTTAAGGGTTTAGGGTTTAGGGTTTTGGGTTTTGGGTTACCTAGAAGCATGAGAGCAATAAGGGATCGGTTCGTCTCCAGGGTTAGGATTGAGGGTTTCGGGTACCCCTGTGTGTGGAGCGCGACATCAGGAAACTCCTTGGCAAGAACATGGCCGACTTCTGCGCAGGCTTGGTGGGGAGGGAGGCCCAAAATCTCGAAAACCTATATAGATCATGGGCGCCATCACACGGGTTGATGTAGGGGCTTCGGGTTTCGAGCTAAACCCTAAACCCTAAGCCCTAAACCTTAAACCCTGAATCCTAAACCCTAAACCTTAAACCCTAAACCTTAAACCCCAGACCTGACATGTCGGCAAGGACTTGGTCCGCTCCTGGAGAAGGAGATGGGAGTGCCCCAAGCTTCGCGAAGGATTGTTTGGGTTTAGGGGGTTTGGGGTTTAGGGTTTAGGGTTTAGGGTTCGGCGTTTAGGGGGTTTAGAAATTAGGGTTTGTGGCTTAGAGGGTTTAGGATTTAGGTTCTTGGGGTTGAGGTTGTTTAGGGGGTTTAGGGGGGTTTCGGGGCTGGGGGCTTGCTGGACTTCGGAGAACGGTCCGGGCTTGCAAGTAAATTTTTGGGGCCCAGGACCTAGGAGTGCCCGGGTTTAGGGTTTAGGGTTTAGGGTTTAGGGTTTAGGGTTTAGGGTTTAGGGTTTAGGGTTTGGGGTTCTTGCGTTTTTCGGGCTTAGAACTTTTAGCCCAGGATTGGTGTGCCCTAACCCATGTCGGCTTCGCGGTCGTGGTGGCTTCAAAGTTACAGGGACGAGGAACTTAGACCCGAAACCCTAAACCCTACACCCTAAGCCCTGCACCCTAAACCCTGAACCCTGAACCCTAAACCCTAAACCGGGGACTTCGGCTCCCAGGTATCCTTCGATCGGCTCGGGCAGCCTCTTCTTACCTGCTACACCGGGGAGCGGCAGTACAGCGCGACTTGGCGGTAATGCTGGGAGGTTGGTTTAGGGTTTAGGGTTTAGGGTTTAGGGTTTAGGGTTTAGGGTACCAAAGTTCTAAACCCCCTGACTCTACAGGTTTTGAGGACTTTCGGGGCCCAGACACCACACGGCACCAAATGAGGAAATCAGGGTCTTGGGCCATTTGAGCCCAAGTGGCACCAAGGTAGATCGGAATGCAGAAGCTGCCGCAGAAATGCCACGCACCCCCCAAAAGAGACCGACGTGGTTTCACTTGAAGGCCTAAGCGTGAGCGATTAAGCCCTCACCACAGCTCTGCAAACCACTACTGGAAGCCCTCAACCAGAGAAGCCCTGCATAAACCCACAAACCCCCTACTGCCACCATTGCAAGACGGAAGCCCCGTTCGCCCTAAACCCTAAACCCTAAGCCCTAAACCCTAAACCCCAAACCCTAAACCCTAAACCCTAAACCCTAAACCCTAAACCCTAAACCCTACCCCCCAAACCCTAAGCCCTAAACCCTAATTTAATTTCCAAGGTCCATATTGACAACCCCCACAGCGGGGAGGATCAAGGGCTACCCGACAATGGCATGCGCACCCTGGTGGCAGACTCGGGGTTTAGGGTTTAGGGTTTAGGGTTTAGGGTTTAGGGTTTAGGGTTTAGGGTTTAGGGTTTAGGGTTTAGGGTACTTATAACCCACTTATGAGCCCCCCTTAAGTGCCCTAATATGGTGATAAGTACAGTTGTAAGTACAGTGATAATTGGTTAATAAGTACCATGAACCTCCAAGTAAGGGGCAATGGGTAGCAGGGCTTAGGCTCGTGGGTTTTTCTACGGAACTACCCGCAAACAGGTGTATGTGTGTATATATATACATACATACATATACATATATACATATATGTACATCTATATCTATATCCATATGTCAATATACATACAGGGAAATGGACATTAATAGTCAATTAAGAATATATATATATATATATATATGTCCCTCTCTCTCTCTCTCTTTGTAGTGCGCGTTATCCAGCCATGTTGAACTTGCAAGTCTGGGCCAGCAGTACATGCAGGGCTGTCCTGCACGTACTACATCAACGACTGGGATCCTGTGGGGGGAGATCCTGCATCTCGGAAGCAAGAGAGGACGCTGTTGGGTCCGTGTACGGGTTTGGGATTTAGGGCTTCTGTGCCTGTCCTGCATGGGCTGCTCTGCTTGCGTCCATTGCGACCGCTGGAGCCGTTTACAGTTTACAGCTGAAGCGAGAGCATTATGCATGGCTTTCAGTGCGCCACTGACAGAAACAAGGTAGATGTCAGCTCTCTCTGCCCCTCATCTCAGCTTTTGTGGATTGGGGGAACCTCAAGCATGCTAGAATATGCTCGATCCAACAACCCAATTCCTCATGGTGCACAACATCAATGCAGGACTGAAGGCCTTGAGCTGCCTTGGGGACGACATGAACCCTTTAAAAGGGTTTATGGTTCACATACCTTACCAGGAAATAGAGCAGTATAGGATATGCGACCCCCCGAGTTTTCGGGCTTCATTTCGGCCCCAAGGTGTAGGAGCTTAAGCTCGCGAGCTGCGGCTGGGCCATGTTGCGCATCACGCAGCTCTCGGGGGAAGAGTTGGCGCGCGTTCCTCTCGAGGAGCTGAGCGATGTGCGCGCCTTGAAGCAGCGGCTGCACGAGCAGCAAGGACTTACTTCTCCAACAGCTGAGCTTTAAACTTGTTTGGGTTTCCTTATTTTGGTAGGAAAAATCATTAGAGTTTAACCTTTGTTCCCTTGGTTCTTGGAGAAGTAAGAGGACTGCCGCCGCGCTTCAGGCAGAGGCTGTTGCACGAGGGCTGCACTTTGGAAGATGGCGTCAAGCTGGATTCTGAGATGGATCTGCAGGTTGACTTGGCTTTCTTCTGGCTTGCTCTTGGGAAATTGTAGGGTTTAGGGTTTACAGGGTTTAGGGTTTAGGGTTTTTTTGTGGAAACTACAATAAGGATCCTAAAGGTGGGAACTTTTAGGAGGGGTTCAGAAGTCCGCCAAGTCGCAGGGGCCCTTAAGAAGCCCCATAAGCCTCAAAGAGCTGCCATTGAAACGGACACCTGAGCGAACGCCCCCTCCCCCCCTGCTTCCACGATTTTGCTTCAGAACTTCAGAACACCAAAAATAAGCACATTCTTCCTTACATGGGCAATATTGGTGTCATGATGTTTCCCTAAACCCTAAACCCTAAACCCTAAACCCTAAACCCTAAACCCTAAACCCCAAACCCCAAACCCCTAAACCCTAAACCCTAAACCCTAAACCCTAGCCTTTCCGAAAACCCCTGAGGTTGTGGTTTTGACGTTCTCCGATGTTTCCGATGACCAGCGGAGAGCGCTGGTGTTCGCAGCCAGGGATGGCAACGTGGTTAAGGCTGCTCATGCAGTTTAGTGTCTAGGGTTTAGGGTTTAGGGCTTAGTGGGTTTTGTATAGATTGTTTATAGGGAGTGTCATGGGTTGAATAGGTTTTTATGATTCATGGGTGGCTAACTTAGGGTGTTATATCCACAGGTGTTCTAACAAAACTCTAGAAAACCCTCAAGACCCAAGGCCACGTTTTGACATGCCCTGAGGTTGAAGCGATGCTGCAAATCCCCATGGACCCAGACGACGCCGTTAAGGGTGAGCGCGATGGTCACGACACGGCCTTGATGGTGGCGCTGTCGACGGTCCACGCAGACACCGGCTGCTTCGAGGTCGCGCGGCTTCTCCTGGAGGCTGGTGCTCGCGTGGATGTCCGCAGCCGCATCCGGGGCGAAAGAACGCCACTGATGGTCGCAGCACGCACGGGTCAAACGCTTCTGGTGCGCTTGCTGCTTGACGCCGGCGCTGGGGTGGACTTGCGTGACAGTCGCGGGTATACCGCGCTGATGCATGCGGCCGGCAGTGGTTTCGAGGACGTGGTGATGCTACTCCTGGAGGCCGCAGCTGAAAAGAATTGGCTTGACCTAGGGGGGCAAACAGCGCTGGACCTGGCAACAGGCAAGGGCCATGAGGAAGTCCGGCAATTGCTCTTGAAAGCCGGAGCAAGGTCCGGCTCCATCATGAGATTTCAAGAGCCTTGGGCATACTTGGAAATTCTTAAAAAAAATAGTTTTTTGGGTACTCTCATTCCCAAGAAACAGCTTAAACTTTCGTTTCCAAGTTCAGTTTTTAGGAGCCTCAGACACCCCGGCACTCGAGACTGTGCGGCGATGGCCGCCGTTGCTTGGGTGGCTCCTTCCCAGCGCCAAGCAGCGCGCGGAGCCCGGGTCTCATACACCTGGAAGCCGCCAGAACCTTGGAAACGAACAGAACCCCAAAGTTGGGGGTCAGAGACCCTTCTACTTCTCTTAAGTCCTAGTAAGGCAAGATGAAGCATAAGCCCGTTTAGGGTTCATGTCCTCTGCAAGGACCGAAGTCTGCCGGTGAGGGCGTCCTCAGCAACATTCGCCAGCTTCAGGCGATGAGGGTTTAGGGCCGTTTAGGATTTAGGGTTTAGGGTTTAGGGTTTAGGGTTTAGGGTTTAGGGTTAGGGTTTAGGGTTTAGGGTTTAGGGTTTAGGGTTTAGGGTTTAGGGTTTAGGGTTTAGGGTTTAGGGTTTAGGGTTTAGGGTTTAGGGTTTAGGGTTTAGGGTTTAGGGTTTGCGGCCAGGCGATGAGGCCTCAGAGAGCTGCCGTGATCTTAGGACAGGCGGCCGCCCTGCAGAGGCCCTATCAAGACTGACTGGCAATGGGTTTAGGGTTTAGGGTTTAGGGTTTAGGGTTTAGGGCCTAGGGTTTAGGGTTTAGGGTTTAGGGCTGTCAGGACTGAAGACCTCAAGAGCCCAATGCCACTCAAAATAAGGAAATGTCCCCTCTTAGAAATTCAGGTATATTCCTTCATGAAGGGGTAACCCCTAAACTCTAAACCCTCAAACCTAAACCCTAAACCTGTTCCTTAATTGAGGGGTATTGGGCTCTTTGGGGAGCTCCCTGAAGAGATGTCACACTGTGGAATCCCTTGAGGGCGGTGCATAGAACCTCCTTGACCCCTTACCCACACCCCAGGGAGGATCCAGCAAGTAGAACCCCGAATAGTACCCTATACTACCATGGGGTAATTTTTCGGAACCCTTAAGGGGGTCTACTTCTTCGGTCCTTCCAGGGGGTCTGGGTAAGGAATCAAGGACAAGATGAGGGAGCCTGCTATTCATATCCCTAACCCCCAAACCCTAATGGGGAGCCCTCTATTGTATCTCTAAACCCCAAACCCTCAAGCGAAGTATTGTTCAGGATCCTAAACCCTAAACCCTAAACCCTAAACCCTAAACCCTAAACCCTAAACCCTAAACCCTAAACCGTAATTGAAGGGCTTTGAATTTAAGTCTCTCGGTGCGTCCACTTCACCTACCGCGGCTGGAGACTTGAAAAGATGAGGGAGACAGCATGGACTCTAAGGTTAATTCGGGAAATTTTGGGATTTGGGGGGGGTTTAGGGTTTAGGGTTTACTGTCTTAGGGGTTTTGGGGTTGTTTAGGGTTTTTTTGTGTGTTTAGTGTCCGGGGTTTGGGATACTCGGTTGCCCGGCAGTGTGCCTGCGCATATCTTTGCTTTAGGGTCTCCTTTTCAAACTGAACTGTAGGAAAACCCTCGACCCGAAACCCTAAACCCTAAACCCTGAACAGTAGCGGTTAGAACTTAGGGGTTCAGGGCTTAGAGCGGGAACGGGCTGGGCAGAAAGGGCAGCAGTCGAGCACGGTTTAGGGTTTAGGGTTTAGGGTCTAGGGTCTAGGGTTTAGGGTTTAGGGTTTAGGGCTCGAAAACTACTCTAAACCCTAAACCCTAAACTTTGAACCCTTTACAAGGAGGCCTGGCTGGGGCAACTCTAGGAGTGTGGTCCCACACCGACAGACCCAAGCCCTCAACACAGAAGTGTTAAACATCGCTCTACCCGGAAAGCCCTGAACCTTAACCTAAACCCTAAACCTTAAACCCTAGGCCTTTAGCCCCAAAGCCGTAAGCGTGGTAAGACACGGACAGCACCAAAGCATCGGCTAGTGAAACCTGCCCCTTTTCAAGGGGTCTGACCTTCAACAGTTGACATTTGGGGTTTCAGGGTTTGGGGGTTTAGGGTCCAGGCTCACCCCCCAAAAAACACCCTACACCCGAAAGAAACCCTATATCCTGAACCGCCGAATCTCTTTAAGGAGTCCTTAAAGGATCCCCGCCCCCAACCTGTGTAGAAGCTCGTAAAGGAGCGCTTTAAGGACCCCCAAATGGAACCCCCACAAAGCTCCGAACCCGGGGCCGTCCTACAAACCCTAAAATCCTTTCGCCTGATCTCTGAGGGTTTAGGGTTTCAAGCTGCGCCCCAAAGGGGTTTCTCGGTTTTGAGTGCCCCATGAGCGCCCCCTAAGCTCCAGAAGCCCTAAACGGCCCCTAACGGTAAGCCCGAAACGCCCTAAATCCTAAACCAACGCACAAACCCCTATAAGCCCTCGGCCTCAACCCCCCTAAGTCCTCTGAGTCCTAAACCCTGAACCCTGAACCCTAACCCTAAACCCTAAACTCTAAACCCTAAACCCTAAACCCTAAACCCTAAACCCTAAACCCTAAACCCTAAACCCTAAAACCCTAAACCCTAAACCCTAAACCCTAAACCCTAAACCCTCCCTAAGCCTTACAAGGGCGGCCTGGACATCTTCCTATCAGATCCCAGCGCGGCGGTCGCGCCGAGCGCAGCGCGAAAGCAGCCGCGACTCAGGCCGGACTTTCTGCTTGGTTTGGGTTTTAGGGTTTAGGGTTCAGAGTTTAAGGGTTTAGGGGGGTTAGTTCGGGTTTAGGGTTCAGGGTTTGGGGTTTAGGGTTTAGGTTTTAGGGTTCAGGGTTCAGGGTTTAGGCTGACGTTAACAGTCTGGGTTATCAGAAAAGGGTTAATCAGGGTTTAGGGTTTCGGGTTTAGGACACCAATATCAAATCTAATGTTGAACTGGGAGGGTGGTAGCCCAGTGGTACCCAAGGTTCCCTTATAAAACAACCAACCCCCAGGAAGGGTGCCGTTATTGTAATACGGATACTGGCTGCCAAGTCCGAGCATCCCATCCAGCCCCCGCAGTTTGGGTTTAGGGTTTAGGGTTTTAGTGGGTTTTAGGGTTTAGGGTTTAGGGTTGAGGGTTTAGCGTTCTTTTGGGATCCTTGTTATGAAGCGGCCCCGAATATTTAGGGCACCCCCAAAAAGGGACCATCATCTCCACCCCCCCACATACTTGGAAGCTCTTTTGACTTAGTAAGCCTACTTAGTATCCGGTAGACACACTATTCTAATCCCCACAACCCGCCTTTCAAACCCTACTCACGAAGTCGAAGGAGCTTCAAAGTATGCCTCTATCATGAACTCCCTCACCCACCCCCGCACCCCTGATGACGCAGGGTGGCTCCTCATGCCGACACCCTGGTTTTGCACCTCTCCGAGCGCCGCGCGCCCGCGTTTCTTGAGACCTCGGTTGGGTCTACAGGCGTTAGTATGGTTTAGGGTTTAGCGTTTAGGGTTTAGGGTGTATTCTAGAGTAAGGAACAGGCTTAGGGATTGATTAGGGTTTGAGGTTTCGGGTTACCCCTTTATGAAGGAACACACCTGAATCTTTAGAGGGGCTATTAATACAATTTTAGGTACAGTCTTGAAATACGCTGTATTGAGGGTTCTTTGGGTCTCTAGACGTTAGAAGGGTTTAGGGCGTTATAGGGTTTGTAGGGTTTGGGGATTAGGTATGGGTTTAGGGTTGGGCGTTTAGGGTTTCGGGTTTCGGGTTTAGAGTTTAGGGTTTAGGGTTCAGGGCTTAGGGTTTAGGGTTTATGTGGTTTATGTGTGGTTTGTGTGTGTTTATGTGGTTTAAGGTTTATATGGTTTAGGGTATAGGGTTTGCGGTTGTTAGAAGGCAGTTTAGGGTGTACAGGGTAGGCGCTCGAGTGGTTTTGTTTGGCCTGGGCTCCCGCTCGACCCAACATGCCCTGCGTTCCAGTAAGCTCCAAAATTTAAAAAAAGGCTGGGGCATCCTTATCCCCATACCCCAAAAGGCATCCCTTGAACCATGTTCCAACTTACCCTAAACCCTAAATCCTAGATCCTAAACCCTAAGCTGTGGTGAAACCCGCTGCGCTTTGATCATCTGAACCGGCACTCTTGCGAGTTCGGCTACCGAACTCTTAGGGTTTAGGGCTTAGGGTTTAGGGTTTGCTTAGCACTGCTGCAGAGAGCCCGACTTACCCCCCTATGTAGGAAATGCAACTAATAGTTCCTGAGCTGAAAATCCCTGTTAGTTTCCCTAAACCCTAAACCCTAAACCCTAAACCCTAAACCCTAAATCCTAAATCCTAAACCCTAAACCCTAAACCCTAAACCCTAAACCCTAAACCCTAAACCCTAAACCTTCATTACGGGGAGTTGGGCCCGTGGGTCCCATTGCCAAAAAGGCATAGCGCACCGCGTGGTTGCGACGCGAAGTTCCGAGGCTCTGTTGCGGCCGTGGGCCTGAACCCTACTTGGAGGTTCATGGTACTTATCAACCAATGATATAACTGTACTTTAAAGCCCACTTAGAAGCCCCTGAAGTGCCCTGTACGGTTAGAAGTGCAGCTACAAGTACAGCTATAATTGGTTAATAAGTACCATGAACCTCCAAGTATAACCAGATTATGGTGGTCCTTCCTTTATTTTCGGGTTTAGGGTTCAGGGCTATGACCCAGGTTACGCCCTTATTCCCTTTTTTCCCGTTTAGCTTCACCGATAAGCCCCTTTAAACCAACAAGTATTGTCTACCGCTTAAGGCTCTATGGACTTTCTTCCTTGGGTTTTACGGGCCGAAAAGGCATTCCCTTAAGAGGCGAGGTTCATGGATAGTTGCAAACTTGGGTTATAAGTTAGAAGTAGGGTTTAGGGTTTAGGTTTAGGGTTTAGGGTTTAGGGTTTAGGATTTAGGGTTTAGGGTTTAGGGTTTAGGGTATCGGGATCTATTTGGTCCTAACCTTACTACCTTGTTTCGGGTCATGAGCCATCTGCATGAACATGAATGCCCCTTGGCTGAGAGCCCAAGAGGCAGAAGATGCAGTGTTTTGGAGACTTGGGCTAAACCCTAGACCCTAGACCCTAGACCCTAAACCCTAAACCCTAAACCCCGCACCCTAACACCTCTAACCTCAGCACCCTAAAACCCCCAAGCCGTGAAGCCTAAGCCCACGTAACCCCTCAAGCCCGAAGCCCCAAACCCCATAAGCCCCGAGAATAAAGTGAAGAACGACATGGGTCTTCCCACAAAAGGGCTAAACCCTCAACCCTCAACCCTCAACCCTCAACCCTCAACCCTAAACCCTAAACCCTAAACCCTATCCCTAAACCCTAAACCCAAGGGAAAACATCCCAAGCCCCCATGAGCAGGAGAGATGTTATGCCTTGCAACTCTGGGGCCTCCACGGCGAGTCCATGCAGCAGATGTCCAGGCTCCAGCTCAGGGTTGGGTTTTGGGTTTAGGGTTTAGGGTTGAGGGTTGAGGGTTGAGGGTTTAGGGTTTAGGGTTTAGGGTTTAGGGTTGTGGGTGTTTAGGGTTCAGGGTTTAGGGTTTAGGGTTGTGGGTTTAGGGTTCAGGGTTTGTTAGGGCTCCTGAGGGTTTTTTCGGGCTTTGTAAGTGTTTTTGTTGGCTCTGGGCGTTTTAGGTGTTTAGTGTTTTGTTGAGGGTAGGGGGGGGGCTTTGAGTGGTAGGGCTGTCGGTTAAACGCTTAGGGTTTCAAGAGGTTTGTAACCTCAACCCTAAACCCTAATCCTTAAACCCTGAGCCCCAGTTACCCAACCCGAAACCTTCAAGCGCAACCTAGGACCCAGAGTGGGGGCTAATTCCCTTCCTTCAGGGTTTAGGTTCACCTAGAAGACCCCTTAAACCATAAAGGCCGCCCTTGTTAATTCCTAGGTTACTCTTGGGTCTACCCTCCCTCAACCCTAAACCCTAAACCCTAAACCCTAGAGCTGCAAAAAGAAGGAAGTTGCTGGCCATGCGGCAGCCAGCGAAAGCGGAGTCTGACGACGAGGACTAGCGCCACCCGGCCTCCAAAGAAGCTCTGCACCTGTTGGGTTTAGGGTTTAGGGTTTAGGGTTTAGGGTTTAGGGTTTAGGGTTTAGGGTTTAGGGTTTAGGGTTTAGGGTTACCGGTACGTCATGAACACTTGAAACCCCAAGCCCTGAAGCCCTGAATTCTGGGGTCCCTTCTGCTTGGAGAACGTGGGCCTATGAGGGTGGAGGATGGCCATGGGTCCCTTGAGGGAATGGTTTTTGTTTAGGGTTTAAGGTTTAGGGTTTAGGGTTTAGGGTTTAGGGTTCCTTTGGGGGCTACTTGGGGAGGTTTCAGGCACAGTTAGGGGGTTTCTCAAGGGATTAAGACTCGTTCCGCTAAGGTTGCACCCCTAAAGGTTCCCGTGACCTGCTCCTGGTATGGCCCTTATACTAGCCTACGGATCTTTCAAAAAATTCCCCAAAAACCCAAAGGGTACGACCTTAAGAGTCCAAGGTACAACCTCGGGAGTCTCGGGGCTTCTAGTTTCGCAGTAGGGTTTCCCGGTAACAGGCCCCTGGACCCTGCCTCTCTCTCTCGGCAGAAACCGCCGGGCAACTGCAGCCTAAACTTTATGGCTTTGTAAACTCTTACCCTAAACCCTAAACCCTAAACCCTGTAAGCTCAGACTTTCTCACACCCTAAAAGTCCATGTACCTCAATATAGTAGACTTGGGCCCGAAAGTCCCCCGTTTAGGGTCTAGGGTCTAGGGTCTAGGGTCTAGGGTCTAGGGTCTAGGGTCTAGGGTTTAGGGTTTAGGGTTTAGGGTTTAGGGAGAGTAAGTCGTCCCCTGTTTAGGTACATGGAGCCTTAGGGACAGAGAGCAAAGGTGTGCATGCAGCCGGCGGCCCTCAAAGAAACCAAGCGAAAGGAGTGGAAAAAGAGCGTTTGGGTTTAGGGTTTAGGGCTTAGGGTTTCGGGTTTAGGATTTAGGGGTTTAGGGTTTAGGGTTTGCTGGTGGGGTGGTTGTGAAGTTATAGACTTTAGGGAGGGTTTGGGGTTAGGTTTTGTTGCTTTGAGGGGATTTAGGGTTTAGAGTTTAGGATTTACGGGGGTTAGTTGCAAGTACGTGAGAGAGAGAGGGGTTAGTTGCAGGAAGAGAGGTGGCTGTGGCCGTGGAATACTTCTGCAGAGCTTTTGCCCCCTACTACGGACCCAAAGAACCCTACCATTAGGCCGCCTAAGCCGAAACTACCAATGCTGGCAGAATCAGACCCCTCAAAGTCCTTGGCACTATGGACCCTTCGAGCGAAGAACCCGAAACCGTGTAAAGCCGAAACCGCAACCCCCAATATAGATCCCCAAATAGTCGGATTCCCTTTTTTTTTGAGCCCCAATAAGGCACCCCTAATTTAGGAAACCCCCCCCATAGAAGGAGATGCTTCATTAGCTGCTTCACTGCTCAGTTCTGAAAAGCATGGTCTGCAAGAGTGGGTGTGGGCCAGTACTTTAGAGAGATGGGCCATGCGGCTGTCGACAGACCTCAATCTCGAAGAGCCTCCTCCTCCGCTCCCCTAAACCCTAAACCCTAAACCCTAAACCCTAAACCCTAAACCCTAAACCCGATGTTTAGGGGTTAGGGTTTATCAGGGGACTCTAGCTCGGACCCCTAAGGTTGTACCCTTGGGTTTGGGGCCCTTTTTTAAGATGCCTAAGGCAAGGCAAGAAGGGCCATCTTCGGGGTACATTGAGGGAAACCCTGAGGGGTACGACCTCAGGGGTCCGAGTCTTAATCCCTTGAGCTTGGGATTTCGGGTTTAGGACCCTAAGCCCTAACCCTAAACCTTAAACGCGCCATGATGCGATGCTGGCTTCTCCTTTGCTTGACCCTGGGCGGCCACGGTGCTTCACGAAGCTATCGCGAAGGCACCGTCGCCACTGGGCTCGGCAAAGGGGCAGTCCGTAGATGCATCCCCAAGTAGTTTAGGATTATATCCTGTATTCAGGGGGTTTTACAGTAAAATATAGTGGCCTAAGAATGCGAATAGGGTTTTGGGGGTTACTCTAGCAGAATTATAGCACTACCAGAACGGAATACTACTAATTAGTAATTATTCCGACCCCTATAGTACCTTAAGTAGCGGATGAATGTGTAGGGCGAAGGTCTGAAAACCTAAACCAGACATGTTTCCAAGGACATGAGCGAGGTGCTGCACTACGAGGCGGACGAGGTGGGTGCGGTTTGTGCCCCGGCTTATTGAAGTAGGTAGGGTTTAGGGTTGAGGGTTGAGGGTTGAGGGTTTTTTGGGGGGGTGTTTGGGGTTTTCGGGTTGAAAGGTTTTCTGCCACAGGACTTCAACTCCTTGAGATGAAGCGCACCAGACATTGCATGCTGAGGTTGGTGCATGCTGGGATTCGAGTATGCATCGGGATGTACCCCCCCCTTAGATATAGGAACAGCTCCTTAATCGGGATTTAATTACATTAACCCCTACTTATAGTCCTTATTAAAGGGCTGTCAGTATAAGGGGGAACATCCCAAAGTATCCAGTTCAAGCATCAGAGTTCCTGTCACTCCCTTCTTGTGTCTTTGAGGTGTAAGGGTTTAGGATTTAGGGCTATTTTGGGATGTTCCCCCTGATACGAACAGTCCTTCATACGGCTTGCAGTACCCCCCTAGTTGTAGTCCTTATTAAAGGGCTTTGAGTATAAGGGGAACATCCCAAAGTATCCAGTTTAAGCATCAGCGTTGTTCGTCATTGTTGGGCTGCGATTTCAATCTTCGGGCGTAGGTACCCTAAACCCTAAACCCTAAACCCTAAACCCTAAACCCTAAACCCTAAACCCTAAACCCTAAACCCTTTAGGCCATTGACTCAAAACCCTCGAAAGAGGTGAGGCCCAAGGTCCCGGTCAGGGCTTCGCAGAGTTTACAGGGTCCTTAGACAAAGTCTGTCGCCCTTCGGCGCAGGCTGTAAGCCTTCTAAGACCCTATAAAGTAGCATGCCGCAGCGGCTTGTTTTTCGCCGTTTGAGACCAAGAGCTCGTGAAGCCTCCAAAATGTGGTCACTTCGCTCAAATTATGGTCCACTTTTTCGGGTACCCTCAGAATTAGGGGCCGCCTTAGAATAGCAACCCTCGAAAGGGACCAGAAGTCAGAGTCTTAGTGTAGTTACATGATCTTTTTGGGCCCTCAAAAAGGGACCCCTTATACACCCGGTATATACCCTAGACAACCCAAGGGCCCATACTTCAGAAACTTAAGAAGAAGGTAAGGGACCCTAAACCCTAAACCCTATAGTAAGGGGCCATACTAACGGACCATGTGAACTGGGCCTAAGGTGACCAGACCTTGCTTCAGCACATCAACTGTGATCCTTGGTTTTCGCTACTATAAAGTTCAGCTCTGCCAGGGTTCAGGGTTCAGGGTTTAGGGTTTAGGGTTTAGGGTTTAGGGTTTATGGTTTCGTGCCGAAGGGTTCCTTGCAGCAAGGCCTCAAACCCCTAAACCCCGCAGCCCTAGTGCATTGCGCTTCCCGTCCTTTCCTCACAATTTGGATGCTGGGAGAGGTGGGGGGGGGGGGGGGGGAGTTTAGGGTTTAGGGTTTAGGGCGCACAAAGGGTTTAGGGTTTAGAGCCAGTTCACATGTGTATACAACCTCACACTCTGAGCGTAAGAGTCCACGGCCACCTCGCCTTTTTGGCATGCAGGTCTGAAGGCAGGTTCCCCTTGCAACTCCCTCTCAATCCTGTAGGGTTTAGGGTTTAGGGTTTGGGGGTTAGGGTTTAGGGTTTGGGGTTTAGTCTTTAGGGTTTAGGGTTCAGGGGAATATTTGTCAGAGGGCTTTAAGGGCCATCCCAGTTTCAGATACCAGCTCAGGACAACAAACTGTGGGACGACCTGTTGGCCCAGCTTTGCCGTCATTGCTCCCGCAGTGGCTGCGCCGTTGGGATGCAGAAGATGTCAGGGGTGTTGGAGTTCAAGCCTTTCAAGAATAAGAAAGGTGTAGATTAGGGTTTAGGGTTTAGGGTTTAAGGGTATTTAGGGTTTAGGGTTTAGGGTTTAGGGGTTTAGGGTTTAGGGTAGACCCTAAACCCTAAACCCTAGCCCCATGAAAGGTGCAGAGGGGAGCATGGTCAGCACAGTGCTCCCTCAAACCCTAAACAGAACCTCAACCTTAAAACCCTGAGAAACCCTGAACCCTGAACCCTAAACCCTAAACCCTAAACCCTAAACCCTAAACCCTAAACCCTAAACCCTAAACCCTAAACCCTAAACCCTAACCCCCCCCCTCCCCCGGCCAGCTTTCTGGGAGAGGTGAGCGATCCGGAGTTGGAGCAGGCTACCTGGGGCTTGTGATTGGGACCTACGGAAGCTTAGGGAGAGTTCAGGGTTCAGGGTTTAGGTTTGAGGGTTTAGGGTTTGGAGTAGCCATGCTAGGACCCAGAGTAGGCCCTTATGCCCTTTTTTGGGGGGGTTTGGGTTCCCTTGCAAGCCCCTTGAAACCAAAAAGGGTACCCTTTCAGGCCGAGGTAACTGGGTCTAGAATAGGCGAGGGTGGTTTGCCGCTCTAGACAGCGTGAAATGGCTATAGGGGTTCTTAAGGGATAGGAGTTCATGGGGTTAGGTACCGCTTTAGGGTTTAGGGTTTAGGGTTTAGGGTTTAGGGTTTGCCTTAGGGAGCCTTAGGGAGTCGTGTGGAGTATTAGGGAACCTTGGGATGCATATCCCCCCGCCCCCGAACCCCATCCCAGAGAAGTATGAGGACCCTAGAAACATCCCCCCTTGAAGCCGCCTCCCTTAACCAGTAAACTCCATAAAGTTGGAACATAGCTTATTGGCGATGAGTGCTGGGATTTCGTTTAGTATCCCTCTTGCGGCATAAGGAGAATGATGTTCCGACTTTTGGGAGTGTAATTACCGTACAGGGCTGCATAAGGTCAAACAAGGGGGTTAAAACGCGGGGCTTTGGGCTTCTTCAGTTCACAAACCAGTGTTGGCTGTTGCGACCGTCCAGTTTTTAGGGTTTAGGGTCTCTGGGTTCTTGTGGATGTAAGTAGGAGGAATTTGGTTTTGGGAGTTGGCTTTAGGAGGGTTTCAGGGGTTTAGGGCATATGGTCGGGCAGGTGGGGGGCGGGGGGGGGGGGGGGACAGGTTATCCAGGTCCGCTCTTACTTCAACTCCTGGGGCGAGTCCACCTAAAAATCGGTCAGCTTGTCCTAAACCTTCTAAGCCCCAAATTTTAAACCCTAAACTCTCAGCCCTGAACTTGAAATCGGCGATGGTGCCGTAGAGGCCCTAAACCTGCTAAGCCCTAAACCTTGCAGTGCGCGGAGCACCAACCCACGCTGAAACCAAGTGAAGCCCTAAACCCTAAACCCTAAACCCTAAACCCTAAACCCTAAACCCTAAACCCTAAACCCTAAACCCTAAACCCTAAACCCTAAGCCCTAAACCCTAAACCCTAAACCCTAAACCCATGACTCGTCAGGTCGCCCGCATGGCTTTTCGGCTCTACATCACTATGGTGGAGAGGGGACAGGCCCGAACAATGGGGTTTAGGGTTTAGGGTTTAGGGTTTAGGGCTTGGGAGTTTAGGATTTGGGGCTTGGGAGTTTAGGGTTTGGGAGTTTAGGGTTCAGGTTTTGAGGTTTAATTAGGCCACAAGTTCTTGGAAAGGGGTTGAAATGGTTGGAGACACCGTAGTCTTAGGGCTGTAGAGCTCCTGTTGGGTTCAAGGGTTGGGGCTTGGGATGTTCCCCCCCCTATGCCAGCAGTCCTTAAATAGGGACTATAGGGTTTAGGGTTTAGGGTTTAGGGTCCCTAATGAAGGACTGCTAGGAAAAGGGGGAAAACACATCCCAAGTTGGGGCGTCCATGGTAGTGAGGTTTCCGAAGGGGAGAGAACCCCAAGCTTAAAATTTGCATCCTAAACCCTACAGGGTTTGGGTTTAGGGTTTAGGGTTTAGGGTTTAGGGTTTAGGGTTTAGGGTTTAGGGTTTAGGGTTTAGGGTTTAGGGTTTAGGGTATAAGCCCTAAACCCTTAAACAACCCTTAAACCCTAAACCCTTAAACTACCCTAAACTACGACTCGGCGCAATAGTTCCAGAGACCAAGCCAAACAGGCACTTGCTGTTTGCAAACACACTCGCACTCCCAGGTCTTGAGTACCTACGAACCCCCCGCCTTCCCTCCCCCCCCCCCCCCCCCCGTCCAGGAGAACCTGGACACCACAGTGGGTCTTCAACCCCTAAACCCTAAACACTAAACCTGCAGGGTTTAGGGCTTAGGGTTTAGGGTTTGGGGCAAGTACCGGCTGCAAGAGAGGGTCCAATTAGGGTTCAGGGTTTCGGGTTCAGGAGAACCTGGACACCTTCGCCTGCAAGCACGGTCTCTTTGCCGCCCTCCTCTTCCATTCGGAGCCGCCCCGCCGCGTTTCAGGGGGTTGGGGTTTAGGGTTTAGGGTTCAGAGAGAGGGAGAGCGAGAGTCCTTATCATGCAAAGAGAAAGCCTTTCCGGGGTCAGAACTCCCTACGTCTGAATGCCCTAAGCCCGAAACCCTAAACCCTAAACCCTAAGCCCCCCCCCCTCCCCCCCTGCTCGCCATGCATGTTGCACTGGAGTTCCGGTATCCGCATGTGCAGGTAGAGGCCTCCCGCTGATTTTGGGGTTTCCGAACGTAGCGGTACCCTTTTTGGGGCAGCCTTTTCAGGGGATTCTATTCTCTTTGGGGTATATAAGGGGTTATACCCATTTTTTGGGAAACACCCATTTGGGTGGTTTGCCCTCGTCTTCTGGAGTTTCTAAGCTCTCACCTTAGCGAACTCCCGGCAGGGCAGAGATTTCAGGGCAACTAGGCGGTCTAGCTTGCCCTAAACCCTAAACCCTAAAAAAAACACTAAACTCTAAACCCTAAACCCTCAGTCCGTGGCTCAAAGCCCGACACCCCAAAGTCCATGTAGGCCTCCGCTTCATTGGGGGTTTAGGGTTTGGGGTTCGGGGTTTAGTGTGTAGGGTTTGGGGGCGTTTAGGGTCTGGGGCTTAGGGTTTGGGGGGGGTATAGGGGGTTAGGGTTTGTACTTGGCGGGGGCCTCACAGCTGCCTAAGGCTCAACCTCTTAGTAAGGAATTCGGGAACGGGGTGCCTTATATCCCCTATGTTATACCTCAAAAGCCTGGATTCCCATTCCCAGGATCAAGGGTCTAGCCATCCCTCCCGACGAGGGGTGCGGGGAAACCCTAATCCCTAAAGCCTAGACCCTAAACCCTCCTCTGTTCGGCGTTGTAGGCCTTGAAGTGTTACGCCCCCCCCCCCCCTGCGCCGAACAACGGCACAACCCTGAAGCCTGTAAGCGCCATGCCTCAAGCCCTACGCCGTAAGCCCTCTGGCATCCCCCAACTACGTAGTCCGTGCGAGGATTTAGGGTTTAGGGCTTAGGTTAAACCTCCACATTGCGACGTTTACCTGCTGGCAAAGTTTTTGTGGACAGTGGGCTCTTGTGAGGAGTTGCCCTGTTCACTGTAACTACTGTAGCTCCCCGGGCACGACGACCAAATATGGGGACCACTAAATACGGGAAGGAAAAGTCTTTCCCGCATACTTAGTATAGCTAATGGTTTTCTCGTGTTGCCCATGCTTGCGACCGTCAGATTCTGGCCGCTTCACAATTCAGGTTTAGGGTTTGGTCTCATCATCCCCTAACGCCGTAAGTCCCATCGCGATAGGTGCCACAAAACTCCAGACAGGCTATTATTAGTGTCCAGTGGTCCTCCGCCTTAGTGAGGAGTTGCCTGCGCGGCACCATGTCCCTTACTATTGAGGTTGGCCTGCTGAGCGGCAGGATGGTTTCAGTGGAAGCAGGGGACGACGAGTCTGTTGAAAAGTTGATGAACAGAGCACGCAAGTCGCTGGCAGTCGGCAGGGGCAGACTCTGGGACTCCTCCGGAGCTGTTCTGAATGGAGCAAGCACCCTTGAGGAATCTGGCTTGCGCAGTGGCGATACACTCACCTTGAAGATTGGCAGCGTCCAGGTCTGCGGCAACGACGGGGCTTTTGCTGCCATACTAGGCGATGGGTCTGTTGTCACCTGGGGGCGTGCTGATTGTGGTGGCGACTGCTGGGAGGTACAAGATCGCCTTAAGGATGTACAACAGATCCAAGCATCTGCCACCGCTTTTGCTTTCATAATGGGCGATGGGTCGGTTCTGACCTTGGGTCGTGGTGAGTATGGTGGCGACAGTAGTCACGTGCAAGATCAGCTCAAGGACGTGCAGCAGGTCGAAGCTACAGAAGTTGCTTTTGCTGCCATTCTGGGCGATGGGTCTGTTGTGACCTGGGGCAGTGCTAACTGTGGTGGCGGCAGCAGTGCTGTGCAGACTCAGCTGAAGGACGTGCAGCGGATAAAAGCTACCAGCCAGGCTTTTGCTGCGATTCTGGGCGATGGGTCCGTTGTGACCTGGGGTGCTGCTTTCTCTGGCGGTGACAGCAGTCGTGTTCAAGATCAGCTGAGGGACGTGAGGCAGATCCAAGCATCCAGATATGCTTTTGCTGCAATTCTCCGCGATGGCTCTGTTGTGAGCTGGGGCAATGAGTTCTTTGGTGCCAACACAAGTTATGTGCAAGATCAGCTCAAGGACGTTAGGCAGCTCCAAGCTACCAGCGGGGCTTTTGCCGCCATTCTGGGCGATGGGTCTGTTGTGACTTGGGGCGGTGCTCACGCTGGTGGTGTCAGCTGTGATGTGCAAGATCACCTCAAGCATGTGGGGCAGATCCAAGCTACCAGTATGGCTTTTGCTGCCATTCTTTGTGATGGATCTGTTGTGACTTGGGGCAATCCTGAGAAAGGTGGCGACAGCACTCATGTGCAGGGTCAACTCAAGGACGTTCAGCAGATAAAAGCTACGAACCAGGCTTTTGCTGCCATTCGAGGCGATGGGTCCGTTGTGACCTGGGGTGCCGCTTTCTGTGGCGGTGACAGCAGTCATGTTCAAGATCAGCTGAGGGACGTGAGGCAGGTCCAAGCTACCGGCGAGGCTTATGCTGCCATCCTGGGCGATGGGTCTGTTGTGACCTGGGGCTCTGCTGAGCGTGGTGGCGACGGTGACTTGCTAGGCGAGCTGAGAAACTCCTAGCAGAGAAAGTCTCTAAGGGGTCTTGGGCTCTCTAGAACACTGTAAAGGCCCAAACCACACAAAAACCCCCTAAAACTGCAACCCTCAACCCAGAAACAAAAAGGCAACCCTCGCCCCCCCGCAAAAGAAAACCGCAAAACCCCAAACCGGGTTAGGACCTTGGGACATTTATATAGGGGTTTGCGAAAATGAGGGAATCTTGTCCCCACTTTGCAGGATTCCCTTGTATCGGAGCCCAATCACCCCTAATTCCAGAAACCCCCCCCCCCCCATGTTTGCCCTTAAGAGGATCATCTTTACGAATATGTTTCAGAAAGTTTCTCGGGCCTCGCCGCCCCAACACTTTTGGGCTTTAGGGTTAAGGGTAAACCCTAAACCCTAAACGCCAAACCCTAAACCCTAAACCCTAAACCTCTTTCAGCCCTAAGACCCGTAGGTCTTGCGTCCGCCCGCGCCTCGGCTGTGAGACCCCAGGAGGGGTTTCGGGGTTTAGGGTTTGGGGGTTTAGGGTTTAGTGGTTCTGCGTTCTCCCCAGTTTTTCTTTTTGTTTGTGCTGGTTAGGGTTTAGGGTTTACGGTTTAGGGTTCAGGGTTCAGGGTTCAGGGTTCAGGGTTCAGGGTTTAGGGTTTAGGGTTTAGGGTTTAGGGTTTAGGGTTTGAAGCAGCTTCCAGGTTCAAAAGAGTTTAGGGTTCAGGGTTTAGGCGGGGGTGGAGTTGAGGTTAAAGGCCGGGTCTTTGGGGGGTCTGCTTGTGTGGGCTATTTCTGATCTATAGATGCTAGGGTTTAGGGGTTGGGCTTCTAGTTTTTGTTTGGAGGGGGGGGGGGGTGAGGGGGTTGGGGTTGAGCAGAGTTCAAGGTGCAAGCGCCTGGTTTTGAGGGTCAGGGTTTCGGGTCCAGGCTCGCCCTAAACCCTACGCCCTAAGCCCTGAAGTTTGAGAGGATGTTGCCTAGGATTCTTGTTCAGAGGTGCGAAGGGGGCGAGCTAGGGGGGAGAGGCTGAGGGTGCTGCTGGCTCGGCTTCAGGGCTGTCAGGGTTATATACAAGGCTTTGCCTTGTATTGTTGTGCTTGCTCTGTTGCTTCGACGGACCCTAAACCCTCAACCCTAAACCCTAAACTCTAAACCCTAAACCCTAAACCCTAAACCCTAAACCCTAAACCCTAAACCCTAAACCCTAAACCCTAAACCCTAAACCCTAAACCCTAAACCCTACTTACTGCTTCGATGCCTTGATGTTGGGCCTAGTTTTTTGAAGTGTCCTCCAGTGCCAACGGTGCTTTTGTGCGGGCTGGGCTTAGGGTTTAGGGTTTAGGGTTTAGGGTTTAGGGTTTAGGGTTTAGGGTTCAGGGTTTAGGGTTTAGGGTTTAGGGGTTCCTGGCAAGGAAACGATTCAGTTTCAAGTCAGCATGGAGGAGATCCAGTCTACACCCGCCATCATGGACCCCTTGCTGAACTTCCTAGGGAAACCCCTTAAAGGGTAAATAGAAATGTATGTATACATGTACCCATATAGAGGGAGTAGGGTTTAGGGTTTAGGATTTAGGGTTTAGGGGTCAACAAAAGGCCTTAGGGTTTAGGGGGTTCTTAGTGGGGAATGAGGGAATGAGGTACCCTATACAATCCCTTGAAGGGTCTCTGTAGGGCCCGAATTCCCTCATTCCCTACTAAGAACCAGGGGGTTTTGAGCACTGTTCCGATTCACGTGTCCGGGTTCCCTCTACCCTCATCAGGAGTAGGTTTGAACATATTTAGGGTTTAGGGTTTGGGGTCTAGGGTTACCCTTAATCCCCCCCCTCATATACTCACAATCGGGTATTTCCCCTCTATGCAATCGGAACTCTCTTGACGAGGAACCCAACAGCTTGTCTAACCTTCTGGACTCTCCCTGTCACACCTTTTGTCTCACGGTCTTGTTTACTTTGTCATAGTGGGATAACATTTTACATTTTTAAGGGTACTTAAACTCAATAAGAATAAAATTTTAAATTTTTATTACTATCCCAACTATGAACCAGTTTAGGGTTTAGGGGTTTGGGGGTTTGGGGTTTGGGTTTTGGGCCCTACGGCTGCGGCAGCAATGAGTCCGGATGCAACAACCAAGGGGCTTACGGCTGTCTTTTCCATCTCTTCCTCGCAGTTGACCTAGTCATCTTGTTCCTTTCTTCTAGAATGCCGAGTAGAACCCTTAGTTCCCCTAGCTCAGGTTGCTTGGCCAAACCGTAAAAACCAACAAAAAACAAAAACCCTAAAACTCAACAAACCATAAAAACCTTAAACCCCTCCACCCGAAGCCCCCAAAAACACTAAAACACTAAGCCCGGTTTAGGGTTTAGGGTTTAGGGTTTAGGGTTTAGGGTTTAGGGTTTAGGGTTTAGGGTTTAGGCAAACCCTAACACGATATTGCAACCCTACACCCAAAATCCCCTAAAGCACTGGAGCCGAAACCATAAACCCTAAAACCTTAAAGCCCCTGAACCCTTAAACCGCAACACAGCAAGACCCTGAAACCCAAAAAACCCAAAACCCCTAGAACCCTAAAACCCTAAAACCCTAAAACCCTAAAACCCTAAAACCCTAAAACCCCTAGAACCCTAGAACCCTAGAACCCTAAAACCCTAAAACCCTAAAACCCTCAAACCCTCAAACCCTAAAACCCTAGAACCCTAAAACCCTAAAACCCTAAAACCCTAAAACCCTAAAACCCCTAGAACCCCAAAGCTCGTCGTCCAGGAGCTCTACCTCAAACCCTCAAACCCTAAAACCCTCAAACCCTAAAACCCCAAAACCCTAAAACCCAAGAACCCCTAGAACCCCTAGAACCCTAAAACCCTCAAACCCTAAAACCCTCAAACCCTAAAACCCCAAAACCCTAAAACCCAAGAACCCCTAGAACCCCTAGAACCCTAAACCCTAAACCCTAAACCCTAAACCCTAAACCCTAAACCCTAAACCCTAAACCCAAGAACCCCTAGAACCCCTAGAACCCTAAAGGCTCGTCGTCCAGGAGCTCTACCTCAGGAAGTACGAGGTCCCTCTGGCCCTTGTGGAAACAGACCGCTTGGAGGCCCCAACAGGGTTTGGGCTTTTTAGGGTTTTAGGCTTTTAGGGTTTAGGGTTTAGGGTTTAGGGTTTAGGGTTTAGGGTTTAGGGTTAGGACCCTAAACCCTAAACCTTGAACCCTTACGCCATGGAACCCTTAGACTCTTGAACGCTCAACCTGAGCCCATGAACCCTCATACCCTTGAACCCTTCAACCCTTAACCCTGAGCCCTTTAACCCTCAAGCCTCAAACCCTTAACCCTAAACCCTCTTTTGGTTCGCAGTTTCGGGTTCCAGGCATGACCTTGGGGAGTTGGTGCAATTTCCCTCATTGGGTTTTTAGAGTTTTGCAAAAAGGGAGCCCTAAAACCTAAACCCTAAACCCTAAACCGGGGCCAGCCTGGGTTTCGGGTTGGCCGCCAGGGGGCTAGAAGCCACCTAAACCCTAGTCCCTACCTAAACCCTAAACCTCCGAAGCGGCCACTCAAACAGAGCTGCTGCGTTTGCGCAGCACATGGCTGCAGGACAGACGCAGCGTCATTACAAGATCAGACCTTTTGGTTAGCATCAGAAATCTTGGGAGGTTCCCCCCTTCTGCGAACAGTCCTTAGTAGGGTTTAGGATTTATAAGGGGCCCTTCTACTAGCAGTCCTTAATAGGGATTATCATCGGGGCCTCCTTCTCAGGGCTTATAGGGTTTGGGGTTTAGGATTTAGGGCTTAGGGTTTAGGGCAGTGCTTGGAGATGTTAAGTGCTCTCTGGCACTGTTTTGATGGTTGGGGTGCTTCTTGCGGGAGCCCAGCCACGGGCACAGGGTTTAGGGTTTAGGGTTTAGGGTTTAGGGTTTAGGGTTTAGGGTTTAGGGTTTAGGGTTTAGGGTTAGGAACCCGCATCCCCATTGACATGATTGAGGTCACTGATGCGTCGGGGTTTCCAGCAACGTGGCGTCACTGATGGAGTCTCTTTGGGCGTTTACGGCTGTTCAAGCCCCCAGCATGGGAACCCTAAACCCTAAAACCCGAAACCCTAAACCCTAAACCCTAAACCCTAAAACCCTAAAACCCTTTACCCCGAAACCCCGAAGCCCCTAAAGTCCTTGAAGAGGCCCGGTGCCCTGAGCCCTTGTCTGCCCTTGCACCCTGAACCCTAAACCCTAAACCCTAAACCCTAAACCCTAAACCCTAAACCCTAAACCCGAACCCCTAAATGACCAGGCTTCGGACTTGAAAGTCGAACTCGAGCCCGAAAACCTCAAACCCTACAAGAAAACCTGCTTACTTTTTTTGTGGGCTACCTAGGAATCCTATAAGGGGTTCTAGAATCGTAACCTACAGAAGTAGCCCTAAACCCTAGTTAAACCCTAACCCCGAATTCCTAAACCCCAAACCCTAACCCTAGTCCCTAATCTCTTTACCCTAAACCCTCAACCCTCAACCCTAAACCCTAAACCCTAAACCCTACCGCAGTAGCAGCCGGGATCTGAGGTCAGCATTCTGACAGATGACTCTGGCGGGCGCGGCTCGGCTTTTCTGTGAGTTCTGCTGCTGGGAGTCAGGGGCTCACAGGGTTTAGGGTTCAGGGTTTGGGGGTTTCGGATTTAGGGTTTAGGGTTTAAGGGTTTAGGGTTTAGGGTTTCGGTTATCCCTATAGTCCAGTTTCGCGGGCTTCAGGAGCCCAAGTTGTTTGTGTCGTCTATGAGGGCATGCACCGTTCCCTGGGACGCGCAGTGGTCCCAGCCAGCAAGATAGCAACCCCAAACCCGAAACCTTAAACCTTAAACCCTAAACCCTAAACCCTAAACCCCAAACCCTAAACCTTAAACCCTGAGACCCAAGCAAGGGTGCATGTTGAGGATGTTGAGCTGAAGGCTTCTCCGGCAGGAAGCTCCGAGTACGGATAAAAACGACACACTCTGAAGGCTTTTGGGTTTTCTGGGGTTTAGGGTATAGGTTTTAGGGTTTAGGGTTTGGGGGTTCCCTAAACCCTAAACCCTAAACCCCAAACCCCTAAATCCGAAACATTGGCCCATCCGAGGCATCCTCGAAACGGTGCACAAGGTCTCGGATGGTGGTCCCGCCTTCCCCCTGAATGTTCGCACTTCGACTTCAAGGGGGGTTTTGGGTTTAGGGTTTAGGGTTTAGGGTTTGTGCCGATTAAGATCCCCTGAAACCAAAACCCTGAACACTGGTAGTCGGAATGTTGCCGGCAGCCAGCCAGTCATGGAGTCCTGAACTGGGTAGGCTCTTGGGACATCTTGCATTTTCCCTTATTGGGTTTAAGAGGATCATATTTAGGAATCTTTTTTCCCTTATTGGGTTTAAGAGGATCATATTTAGGAATTTTTTCCCTTATTGGGTTTAAGAGGATTATATTTAGGAATCTTTTTGTCAGACGGTTTAAGGGGCCAACCCAGTGAAGCCCAACCCAAAAGTCCCAAATCAAACCGCAGTGGGATCCGAACCCCCCCCCCCCCTCCCGCTGGCTCCTCAACCCTCTGCGGTCCGCTCACTCACGCGCCTAGCCAAAGCGCCCAAGTTGCCTCAATTCAGGAACAGACCGCACATCATGTTATCATGTTACAATTATAGGATCTCTATGGAGATGAAGGCCTGAAGGTATATACCTTAAATCATATTATAATTCAAGATCCCCATGTAAACTAAGCTCTATTCCTCAAAAAAAGGGACTGGGCATTGGGCTTTTTGGGGTACACCGAGGTTACGTCCCGGCCGGGAGTGAGCGCGAGTTCCTGAATGTGAAGCGGCACATGTCCCTTCGAACAGGCCGTCCGAAAGACAATGAGTGAAGGAGTCCAGGGTTCGGAGTTGAGGGCTATAGGGTTTAGGGGTAACTGTGGTTTATATTGCTGAGTGCATGTGGTTGGTGTCCTTTTGGGGATACGGTATTCGACACCATAATACCTCACATAGGTAGGGGTTCCTTCATCGCGAAGCAAGCGGGCCACGTTGGGGGTGATGTCTCCGACGCGACAAGAGGAAGCAACTGCGAACTTGTGGAGCTCCGTGTCTAGGGTTTAGGGTTGAGGGTTTAGGGTTTAGGGTTCAACACCTTTACTGGGATTTGGATATTTTGCATACAAGGGCCCTATACGAATGTTTTTCAAAGGAGCCCTACACCCGAAACCCGAAGCCCTAAACTATATCCCTCTTGGTTTTTTTGTTTATATAAAACCCAAGAGGATATTAAAAGTAGTGTTTTTATTAAGGCTCTAAGGGGAATATAGTAAACCCAAAACCCTAAGCCCTAAACCCTAAACCCATGGCCAGGTGAAGGCAGGACTTCGATCGTCACCATGGACATCGACATGCCAGTGATGCTCGACCGAGAATCTGAGCGCAGGCCAGGACAAACAGATAATCACAATCACAAATGCAGAAATGTGTGTGTGTGTGCGTCTACATGTATATATATATATATGTATATACGTATAAATATAAATAAATAAATATCTACATATATATATATATTCATTTTGTATTTATTCAATTATGTCGTGGTTCAGCAGGGTTTGGCATGAATTCAGACCCTGATTATAACCCTAACGCCTCGAACATTCTGCCACCCCTTGGGCGTATCCCCAGCGCCCCTCCCCCACCCCCCACCCCAAACCCTAAACCCTAAACCCTAAACCCTAAACCCTAAACCCTAAACGTCCAACTGGTTGGCCAAGGATGAGCTTGTCGCCATTTCCCTTCCACACCGAACCTGGGCCCCGACATGTAAGACATGGCTCTTGGGGTCTGTATTTGAAACAGGGTTTATGTTACTGTTATGGGTGAGTGTATATAACGTTCCTTTTTTAATGTTCTTTGAGTGTATATACCTGGTGTCCTTTTGGGGGTGCAAGAAATATATATATATATATGCCCTACGTCATATTGGCATTTCCCAAAATAGCGGCGCCCCCTTTTGTACCCCAAATAGAGTAGAATCCCCTTAGGGAGACCCCGAAAAAGGGTACCCATATTGTTGGAAACTCCCATATGGTCGCTGTGTGGGGACTTTTGGGAGGCAGGGATTCTTGAATGTGAGTGAATGCATAAACTGTGGCGACAACAACATAGGGCCGACCTAAATCCTAAGCCGCGCTCTGCTCTTCGCACATTCCAGTAGATGGCATGGGTCAGCCGACGCTTGCGGTCGGGATTTGATCTCCCTAGGTCTTACGCCCTGTTGCCTCTTTTGATATGTCAACTGCCACAGAATACTAGTTGCTGTATAGACCCAAGCCCGAAACCCTTATCCCATAAAGGCATCCACCGCATACGGGTGTGCACATGTACCTTTGGGGGCTTCCACTCCAATCTCTCAAGCAAAGGCAAAGCTCAAGTCCTTGCGCTTTGTCGGCCAGGCGCCCGATGCCCCACCCATTGTGGGAAGGCTTTTTGGTCTTCAGGCGTTCAAAGTTCAAAGGTCTGTGGGTAGTTCTCTAAATTAGGGTCACCTTTTTCGGAGTAGCCAGTCCCCAAAATTGGGCTTAAGGTTTCTTCGGGGTGCCGACATGGAAGCTTTGCTTTTTGAAGCTTAGTCTGGCAAGTAAGCCCACGGCTCCTCCCTCGGGGAGGGGCGAAGGATCCCCCAGAACTCCCAAAAAGCTTCTTTTCCTAAAGCTTAGGGTAGAAGCCTCTCAAAGCCCACCCGCAAGAAAGCAAACCCAAGATCCTAAACCCTCAGTCCAAAGCCCTAGGCCCTAAACCCTAAACCCTAAACCTGCCCTCCTTTAGGATGAGTATGCCCGTTTCGTGACGGACCTTTCGGGCCGCCTGGATGCTGAGTCGCAAGAAGCTTCTTTTGTTATTTTAGAGTAGTAGGGTTTAGGGTTTCGGGTTTAGGGTTTAGGGTTGAGGTTTAGGGTTTAGGGTTTAGGGTTTTGGGTTTTGGGTTTTGGGTTTTGGGTTTTGGGTTTTGGGCCGCAGTGGAGCCTTACCCCTACACTAGGTAGCTGCTTGGAGTATGTGTTGATTGGCCCTACCTTGGGGACGAGCTGAGCCCTAACATTGGGGTCATATACCCCATACTACTCTAACTCCTATTAATAAGGTACATGAACCCTAAACCCTAAACCCTAAACCTAAACCCTAAACCCTAAACCCTAAACAGGGGTTCATGTCGTGCCGAAGGTATGTGTTGATTGGCCCTATTGCCTATTATGTTGAAGCTTCGGCTTCCTTAATGGCTTTGGTGTGGTTGAAAGACGTATCCCGATAGAACACGTGAGCTCCCACCTGAGCCAGCACCCCACGTTGGACTGCCTAGGGTTTAGGTTTCCCATACCAAGGGAAGGCAGCCTCCGGCAGGGTGCCTGCGGTAATGTGAGATTGAGTTTTAGGGTTTAGGGTTTAGGGTTTAGGGCTTAGGGCTTAGGGTGTTTGGATCTGAGTTTAGTGGGCGGTTTGATGTTGGATCCAAGTTACAAGGTCTGGCAGGCTTGTGGTTGACCCTGCTGCGCTGCAAGCTGAGGCAGATGCTGGCATCTTCCACTTGGTGTCTGGGCAGTCTCTGCGTTAGGTTTGGGGTTTAGGGTTTAGGGTTTAGGGTTTAGGGTTTAGGGTCTAAACCCTACACCCTAAACCCTAAACCCTAAACCCTAAACCCTAAACCCGAACTTGCAGTCACTTAGGGGACCTGCCGTTGCTCCCACAATCCCTACACAAACCTTAATCTCGGTCTCCTGGTAGGTCGTTGACGGCGACTACACGCTGAGATACTGGGATGCCCGGCTGGTTCGTCATGGCGTAGTGTTTAGGGGTTAGGGTTTAGGGGTTAGAAAGCCGCGTTTCATTTCTTATTCTTTCCTGAAACCCCCTCCCCCCTCCAAACTCTAAAACCAGAAGTTCCGAAAAACCCAAGTGCTGAAGCCGTTGAAAGCCCAAGCTCCATGAACCTTACACCCTGTTTTCCCAGCTTGCCGGGAACGCAATATTGGGTAGTTCTCTGAATTACAGTTAATTTTGGGGTACTTCTTATAAAAATGCCGTACGATACATAAGACCCCAAAAGGGATCCCCCAATTTTGAGAGCTACCTTGTTAAAGAGCAGGGGCAACCAGACATCAGAAAGAACAAAGTGGCCTAAAAGGCAACATCGAGCTGGCACAGCCAGGATTCTTGCATCAGGGTTTCGAAGGGCTCTGGATTCCAGGCTGTAGAGAGTTGGGTGTCAGAGAGCCCTAGGGTTTAGGGTTTAGGGTTTATAGGGGCTAGGGGCTAGGGGTTAGGGGTTTAGGGTTCTCGGTTGAAGGGTCCAAGAGTTGGATGTCGCAAGGGTGGAATCCGCGAACTGTCAGCCCAGGAGGCCGTGCACGCGCCTCTCCGTGAGGAGAACTACCTGACTCTTGGCACGGCTTCGTGAATTCGCCAATAGCTGAACTTTATGTTTCTTGGGTGTCCTTAGGGTTTCCTTATGTAGTAAGAGGAACAACGTTTAGCTTCGGGAGTCATACGATTTGCTTACTTCGCCAACAGATGAACTTTATGTTTTTTGGGTTTCCTTATTTAGTAAGAATACATTTTCATTTTTTTGGGGCTTCTCAAGTACATAGCAGCAAAGGTACTCACTTAGCCAATGGCTGAACTTGAAACTTGTTGGCTTTCCTTATTTCGTAAGAATAAAAAACGTTAACCGCGTTTTGACTGTTAGTATAAGGGGGATCACCCCAAGTCTTAAGGACAATTTCATGGGCCCTTGAGTTTTATAAGGAGCGTTCAAGGCCTGGGTGTGTGGTTTTGGGGGTTCTCTATAAGATTAGTTACATGGGGCCTGAATATGGTCTCTTACCTGAGCACCCTCTGCCACGTGCGAGCGCGAGAACCGAAACACTCCGTAAACCCCAAGCCTTGTAAACCCTAAGTCCCAAACTCACCTTCAAACCACTCTAAGCACGTGGTCATTCCCCAAAATAGGGGTTGCCCTCATATACCCCAACTACTATACTACTGATTAGGAAACCCCAAAAAAGGGCGCCCTAAACCCCAAACCCTAAACCCTACATCTTTGCATGCGACGGTGTTTTGCTTCAGACTTGCAGAGAAATGTGTCCGATGATGAGAATGCTGAGCGACAGAAGGTAGTGATAGAAATGTCTGAATGTCCTGAGCCGTGGTTGGAGAGAGTGAAGGCTGAGATGGCGGCTTCTGAGGTCGCCATGCAGCTTGATGCTCCAGCATGACATGGCTTGTAAGTGGCCTGCTGATCAGAGTGGGTGGTTGGCTGCCTCACGTAGTGGGACCTTGGGATGCAGCGGCAGAGAGAGAGAGAGAAACCCTGAACCCTGAACCCTAAACCCTAAACCCTAAACCCCACTTCGAGGACCAAGCTCGGCCTTTCTCTGCGAGACCTTGAGGACGCCGCGGTGCTCCAGCGACGCCTGGCCTCGGCTTTTTTAGAGCTTTGGGGCTTAGGGTTTAGGGTTTAGGGTTTAGGGTTTAGGGTTTAGGGTTTAGGGTTTAGTAGCTTTAGGGCCTTTGGGTTGATTTTGGGATTTTTTGGGTGGCTCACAAGACTACTACTTGCTTAAGAACCCAGAAAAAATAGAAATGTTCTTCCTTATTAAGGTTACTATAGGGATTATTGTTTTTTGTTCCATGCTTTTGGGGTGTTCAAGCAAACAGTAGAAGAGGGGTTCCCTTCAACCCCAACGCCGAGATGACTGCTTTCCAAGCTGTCGGCTTGCACCCTAAACCTTGAACCCTAAACCTTGAACCCTAAAAGTGGCTACCTACAGCACAGCTTGCAGGTGAGACAGTCTCTTGTATCTTTCACAATAGCAAGCACTCCCCCCCCCCCCCACCCCCAATACTAGAACCCTTTTTACGTCCTTCGATTGCTTAACATTGCCGAAGCGAAGTTGTTGCCAAGGTTTTTCCATTTTCGCGGCTCGCCTGATTTCATTGTTGGACTCAGGACGCAGCATGTTTCAGCAAGACGTTTGGGGGAGACTGCATTTGACCTAGTAGTAGGGTAGGTAACCTTTAACCTTTTTGGGGTAATATAATCCCCATAAAATCCCAAAGGTTAACCTTTCGTTCCGCCAGGTTACTGGACAACGAAGTTGACTTGAGGAGGCTTCTGTAAGGTGGACAGAGCTGAGCCAGGGTGTCGGTGCCCTAAATGCCCTAAATGCCCCGAAGTCATGGCCGCCACCCAAATCCCACTTTACCGAAGCAGAGACCCACCTTCAATCTGAAGAACCCCTGCTTTAAACCCCTAAGCCCTAAGCCCTAAACCCCAAATTCGGCACCCCCCCGCCCCCCTCCCCCCCCGCCGCCCCATGGTGCTTGGCAGACCTTCTGAGGCACCGTTGGAACAGCGCCATAAGGTTGTGGAGCTCCTTGGGTTGCAGGAAGATGCCCCAAAAAGGGTTTCGGGTTTAGGGTTTCGGGCTTAGGGCTTAGGGTTTAGGGCGAGGACCCAGAGTATGCCCTTAGAATCCCTTTTAAAAAAAGGGTACCATTTTGCTCCTAGGTGACTCCTGGGTAGCCCTAAACCCTATATCTCTAAGCAGCCCCTAAGAAAACCCTAAATAACCCTAAGGTCCCTTGTATTGAGGTTTTGTTACAGGAAACTCCTGGGCTGTTGTGCGCCAATGGTTTCTGAAGGGCATCCGCGCCGAGGGGTTCTTGGGCGATCGGTCCTGGGAGCTTGGCTTCCGGCCCCTAAACCCTAAACCCTAAACCCTAAACCCTAAACCCTAAACCCTAAACCCTAAACCCTAAACCCTAACCCTAAACCCTAGCTCCGCTTCTGAAGATGGGTTGGGGGTTGAGGTTTTGGGGTTTTGGGGTTTGGGGTTTAGGGTTAACTAGGGTTTAGGGTCCTCTAAAGTCTCTAAAGTAGTGTCCTTTCCTTGCTAAGGGTACGGTATTCTATAGGTGACCAAAGTAAGGGACCCGAATTTAGAGAATTGCCCAGGTTCATTCGGAGGGTGTGTTTGTGTGTGTGTGTACGGATGCGCTTGAAGAACGATGGGGGGTGGGGGTTGAGCAGCACGCTCTACGAAACCCGGTGGGCGCCTAGGCCCTTGGCGAAACCCACAAAGTAGACAAAACCAAATAAGCCCTAAACCCTAAACCATAAACCCCAAACCCTAAACCCTAAACCCTAAACCCTAAACCCTAAACCTTATAGGGAAGACTCTGGGAGACTTTCTTCCTCCAGGCTGCTGGGAAATCAGATGCCGCCGTTGGGTAGCCGACGCTGGGATGTCTTAAGTGTTTTCGGATTTGGGGTTTAGGGTTTAGTTTAGGGTTTAGGGTTTAGGGTTTAGGGTTTAGGGTTTAGGGTTTAGGGTTTAGGGTTTAGGGTTTAGGGTTTAGGGTTTAGGGTTTAGGGGGTTATAGTGGTAAGGTATACTCCCGAACGAAGGAAGGCACTGTTTCATTATGGTTCTAAGGGGAGTGCTGGTATTCAGGTTGGCACTCCCTTGACCTACCCATGAACCTACAAGTGGGGTATCTTAAGTGGTACTTGGAGAGTGCACTTACTCACAGGGTACGATAGTCTACGGCGCAATATCACGGTTCCAATAGTTCTAAAAAGACACTCGGCTGAGTAGGATACCAGTCTAGATATGGTCCTGTACTTTGTTTCAAAAATGCTTTCCAGACGACCTGACGACATCTGGGGCAACCATCAAGCACTGAGACTTGCCTAGTGCAACGCGTGGAATACTTTCTGTTTCCCCTTTGCCCCCCCCCCCCCCCCCCCCCCCCCCCCCCCCCGCAGTTCATATTCCATAAATCCCATATCCTTATAAACCCTGAAAGCCCCGTAAACTCCGTAACGCCTCTATGCGCATGAAAACGCTGTGAGCCCTACAACCCCTCAAGCCCTCTAAGCCCTACAACCCCATAAACCTTGTAAGCCTATACACCCAACAAAACCCATAAGCCCCATACACCCCATACAACCTATAAACCCCACAAACCCTATAAACCCTTATATATCGTACTCATTAACCAAGTATACTTGTACGTAGAACCCACTTATAAGCCCCTTAAGTGCTCTAATATGGTTATAAGTACCGTTCTAATTTGATAAAAAGTACCATGAACCTCCAAGTAGCACCTGAGGAGCACGGATCAAGCCCCACGTGCCGGCATCATTCTTGCCCTTCGCCCTTGCCTGCTTGCCTGCTTGCCCCTAAGTACCCGAGACCCTAAACCCTAAACCCTAAACCCTAAACCCTAAACCCTAAACCCTAAACCCTAAACCCTAAACCCTAAACCCTAAACCCTAAACCCTAAACCCTAAACCCTAAACCCTAAACCCCAAACCAAACAGTCGGTAAGTCCAGCTCCCAATAACCTGGGCTGAAGCCCCGAAAGGCCGTCCCCCCTAAAGTGACAGGAGCTGACCGTGGAGCTATGCCCATTGAGCGACGCCCTTCGGCTCCTACTGAGCACAGGAGAGAAATCCCTAAACTACCCTAAACCACCCTAAACCCTAAACCCTAAACCCCCGCGAAGGCGGCCGGCAGGACATGGCCTAAACCTAGACACCCCACGGAGGCTGTGGGCCTACGAGGCCCAAAAGCCTCTTCGAAGCCCAGTGGTGCCCTTTGCCTTTTCTTTTGGTCATGGGTTCCTTTATAAAGTAACCAACCCAAAACAAGACGCCCTTGTCTTATATGGGTTCGTGGCCTCTTTAAGTAGGTTTTCTGTTTTGTAAGGGGGTTCTTATTAGGGTATCTAGGGGTCTACATTAAGGTAGAAGGGTAACAGATAAAGAGGCCACCGGCCTTTATAACCCTTGTCATCATATGGTTATTGGGCTACTAAGTTTGACTTACCCTGCACTTCCAGGGCCTTATCTCGGTAGGCACTTGGGACATTTTATATGGTCTCGTATTGGGGTTTAAGAGGATAATATTCAGGAATGTTTTTCAGGGGGGCCATCCTAGCAATGGTTCAGTTGCCTAGGACCCTTATATAAGGGTCCCTGGAAGTGTTTCCGGTGCTTTTGTCGCCCCCGCTTGCTTGAGCTTGGGGCGTAGAGGGAAACATCAAGGAGCCCATGTTGCATGACGTTGTTTTTTGTGGGGCTTTAGGGGGTTTAGGGTTTAGGGTTTAGGGTTTAGGGGTGCTTGTGTCAGTGATATTGCCCTGCCGTGCTGTCTTCGGCCGGCTAGACGGGGGCCAACCCCACCCTTGGCAATGCGGATCCTCGGATAACACGGCCGCCATGCATGTAGGTGTGGGCACTTGGGCGCTGACTTCGGAACTGTTGCAAACTTATCTTGTGTTCGAGGAACTCCTTCAGTTGCTAATTAACCCTGATTTCGGATGAGGGTGCCCGGCAGCACCTCTGCTTCCCATTTTAAAAGGGCAGCTTCTCTCGCCCCCACTCCCCCTCTAAACCCTAAAGTCTAAACCCTAAACCCTTGGATGGGTGCAGACATTGTCTCCGTCCGCCCATATCTCGTGTCGGATTAAGGGTTTAGGGTTTCAAGCCTAAACCCTAGACCCTAAACCCTAAACCCTACCGGGGGGAAAAGTCTCCTGGCGCAAAGAAGCGGGCGCTGCATCAGAGGTCTCGTGGAGCTGGAGCTTGGCCACATCCAGCGCCAAGCCTTTGCATAAGGGTTTAGGGTTGAGGGATTTATGGTTTAGGGTTTAGGCTTTGGGCCTTGGGGACCTTGAAGCAGCTTCTTCGGGTGGACGAAGTTGTGTGGTTTGGGGTTGACCATTGCTTTGCTGAAAGGGTGGATGAGTTTCGGGCTTTGTCCTAGTAGTCGAGTAGGTAACCTTTAACCTTTTTGGGGTAGTATATTCCCCTTACGGTCCCACAGGTTAACCTTTAATTCCCCCAGGTTACTGGACAAAAAAAAGTCTAGTTACCCTAAACCCTAAACCCTAACCCCTAAACCCTAAACCCTAAGCCCTAGGACAACCAGGTTGTTAGAGCCAGGGCTTGTGAAGTGGAGGCCTCGCCATTCTTCCCCGGCACCAATCACCCCCAAAATCCAACCACGCGTCCGAAGCGAAGTCGGGTCTAGGGCCCTAAGCCCTAAACCCTAAACCCTAAACCCTAAACCCTGAACCCTGCAGAGTCCGGCTTGGGGTCTAGGGTGTCCGGGTTTCCCTAGACCCGACATCCTAAGCCCTAAACACTCGAATTCCTAAACCTTAAACACTAGAAACCCTAGACCCCAAACACTAGAAACCCTAAACCTCGCAGAGTCCGGGTTCAATCACAGGGGTTTACTCTGCACCGACCTCAGCTATCTGGACGAAGGGCTGGCTGTTTATGGGTTTAGGGTCTCGGGTTTAGGGTTTAGGGTCTAGGGTGTAGCAGAATGGTTTGGGGTTTAGGGCTTTCAGAGAAGGGTCTACCCATGAAGACAATGAGAATTATGGCTGTCTTCGGTCCTATAGCTGTTCCCTGCAAGTCAGCGTAGGCTCTTGTGGCTTGGTAGCCGGTAGTACCCTTTACCCTTTTTTTTGTTCTGGGTTCCCTTATAAAGTAACCAAAAATGGGTACCCTTGTTATGATATGGTAACTGGGCTACAAGGTTGGGGTTCCTGTAGAACGAAGCACGAAGCACGGGCCTGAGGTATGGAGAGCAGCCGTTTGCTTTCGCTGAAGGGCTCAACTTTCGCGCCTTCTGCAGCCATTGCCTGTGGGTGGCTGGAGACGACGGGGGAGACGACATGGGGGGGGGGGGGGATATTGCTCTAATTTTGGACTCCCTTTGCTGGGACAACCTTGAAAACCCGAAATCCTTTGTTCGCGAGGTCTCTTTAGTCCTGAACCCTACATGCTGCCTTAGGCCCAGCGTAAGGCTTGTGAACAAGGGTGGGAGTTGGGCTTCTTACGGAGACCCCAGTGCCTTCGGATCAAATGCCATCTCCGCCCCAAAAAACCCTAAACAAGCAACCTTAGATCGAATGCAGGACAGAAACATTAACATCGCCCCCCTGCTAGCCCCAGAGGGAGCACGAAAGAACCGTTAAGGCGTGAGGGATTAGGGTTTCTAAGTTTTTGGCTCTGGGGCTTCAGCTCGAAAACAAGCCCTAGGCTTAGGCCCCCCTAAGTGCCCTAAACCCTGTAACCCCAAGAAACCTCAAGCCGTCGAAGCCTAAACCCCTTAGACTTAAACCCTCGAACCATAAACCCTATGGCTAGACCTCGAACCCCCAAAGCCTTAAACTCCATATCCTAAAAACCCTAGGACCCTAAGCCTAGAGCTCAACCCCCCCCCCCCCCCCACAACCCTATAACCACAAAAACCCTGGAGCCCCTAAATCCTAGACCCTAAACCCTAAACCCTAAACCCCAGACCCTAACCCGAAACCCTTAACCCAAAACCCTAAACCCTACACCCAAAACCCCAAAGCCTAAACCCTAAACCCTAAACCCCAAACCCTAAACCCTAACCCCTGCAACCCCGAACCCTGGAGGTGAGTGTCTACTTCTACGTCACGGAATCCCCGGGTGCCAGTGTTGGCGCCCTGGTCTCACCATGGCCCTAGAGCCATTGCATTAGGGTTTAGGGTTTAGGGTTTAGGGCTTAGGGTTTAGGAATTTAGGGTTTAGGGTTTAGGGTTTAGGGTTCAAGTTTTAGTGTTTAGGGCTTACAAGGCTGTGGGGTCTTCTGCGGGATGCGGGTGTGCCTACACATGCCTTGCAACACCCACTCAACAAGCCCTAGACTTCCAGGGAACTAAAGTGTCCTTAAGGGTTTAGGGTCCATGGCTCCAAGCTCGGGTTTAGGGTTTAGGGTTTCTAAACCCGAAACCCAGTACCCTCTCTCCCCCCAAAAGGGCATTAGGTTACTCTTTGGCATAGATAGCCCTCGCCCCTAAACCCTAAGCCCTAAACCCTAAACCCTACACCCTAAACCCTAAATCCTAAACCCTAAATCCTAAACCCTAAACCCTAAACCCTAAACCCTAGACCCCAAACCAACCCCTAAACCAGCCTCCAAAGCCCGAGGACCCGGCATGTCGGTCCTGCCATTGGCCTTCTGGGTGCCCTGCAGGCTCCTCCGCAGAGTGCTTCGTCTGGGGCTGTAGGGTTTAGGGTTTCGGGTTCGGGGTTCAGGGTTTAGGGTTTAGGGTTTAGGGTTTAGGGAGAGACTACCTTGCTCTTCCGCAGAGTTCCGTCTGGGACTGTACACTAGAGGACCCAGGAGTGAGAACGCCCCGCAACAATATTAAAATGGGAACTACAAAGCAGCTACTTTGGGGCCGAAGCTTTCCCTATGCAACTGCTGTACACTTTTTCGGAATTTCGTTTGCTGTAGGCTAGGGGACTCAGCGTAGCCCCTTATTCCCCTCCTTTTAGGGCTTAGGTATGCTTAGGTTCCCTTCCGTTGAACAAAGCACCCCAACAGGAGACCCTAATCTACGATTTGCTGATGAACCTCTCCCGAAAAAGAAAGCAAACAAGTACAAATACTCCTCCTTATCCCGGCGTTGTAGGCATTGCTGTCTTTCATTTTTCCCGCGGAGGGGGGGGGGGCGAGGGGGGAGGGGGTTCTTGTGCAAATGGTTGGCCATTAAGTCACAAACAAGAGCTTCCAAGTACACCCTATACACCCTCCATAAACCCTCCATGAACCCTACAGTATACTACGTAGTGTACTCTGTTCTGCAAGAATAAAATAACACAAATGGCAAAAAGAAAAAAAGCGCCTCCCAAGTCAAAGGCTGTCCGCCTCCGAGCTGCTCCCGGCGACCCACGAACCCTTGGAGCAAGGGCTAGCACTTGTCCCGCGCCCCCCAGCCCGAGGTCGCTTGGGCTCGGAGGTGTCAGGGATGCTTGGGCTGGGCTCTTCAGGGTTTAGGGCTTAGGTTAGGGTTTAGGGTTTTAGGGTTTAGGGGTTTAGGGTTTAGGGGGGGTTAGGGGTTTAGGATTTAGGGCTTCAGGGCTTCAGGGATGTCCGGGCGCAAGGTTGGCTTGCGCTGTACCCTCCTGAACATATTTTCTTCTGCTGAGGGCCCATGGACGTTCCAAGAACGTGGTGTGTCCTCCAATACTTTAATACTCTTTTTGCTTGCGTCTGAAATAGATTTTCGCTCTGATATACATATATATATATAGACAATTCTACACCCAAAACCCTAAACCCTAAATAAACCTCAATAGAAGATCTACAAACCTGTACATGCAAAGATTCGGTCGAGGGTTCATGGGCCCCAATAGGCCGCGAGATGGCGAGAGCGCGGTGGGACTCTGAAGTGGAAGCTTGGCCTTCTTAGGGGTTCAGGGTTTAGGGTTTAGGGTTTAGGGCTTCGAGCAGAACGAGTTTAGGGTTTAGGTTCTAAGGCTAGAGCGAGTTCTAGGGTCTTAGCTGTGTATGTTTTTTCTGATGACAGAGCACGAAGTTGTACTTTTCTTGCAAAGACATGTCATCGTGTACTTTTGTCGTTTTTGTGCACCAAATGTGAGAGTGTGTGTGAGAGAGAGGGATTGCGCTGGGGTTTCGCCTCTGAAGCAAACCCTGCGCACCTCCCAGGCTGGCTATTAGGGTTTAGGGTTTAGGGTTTAGGGTTTAGGGTTTAGGGTTTAGGGTTTAGGGTTTAGGGGGCCTTTCTTTCACCCCTTGAGTATAAGGACCCTCTGCACGACGCTTCGCAGAAGGAGAGTCCGAGGCTGCCTCTGTCTGAGCGTTTTGGAGGTTGAGGCGCTAAGGTTTAGGGTTTAGGGTTTAGGGTTTAGGGTTTAGGGTTTAGGGTTTAGGGTTTAGGGTTTTTCATGGTTGCTCTTGATGGCCTTGATTGCGGGGTGCTTTCCAGCACCCTAAAGGCCCTATGCCCTAAGCCCTATAAACCTTAAAGCCCTTATGACAAGATGACTTTAGGTGGCTTCTGTCTCTGAGGCAAGTTCTCCATGTGGCTACTGTATTCAGTCCCTTCAAGGTCTATCTTTCTGGAGATTCTAATAGGTTTTTTAGGGTAAATTAAGTAGACTTACTGAGTCAGAAGAGCTTCCAAGTAGGGTACCCTACACCCCCAAAAGTTCAAAACCTTAAGCCCTAAACCCTAAACCCCACACCCTAAACCCTTAACCCTGAACCCTTAAACCCTAAACCCCAAACCTTTCTGCTCCCGAGATGGTAAGTCAAAAGGTATCCTTTGGGGCTTGGCTTAGGGTTGGGGGGGTTTAGGGTTTAGGGTTTAGGGTTTAGGGTTTAGGGTTTAGGGTTTAGGAATCCTTTGGGGCTTGCTCTCGCCCGGCGCGCAGGCCGAACATCTACGTCGGCACATGTCGGCAGTCCCTGCAGCGAGCGTTGGCGGCGCACGGGCTTGTGAGAGTCCAGGGTTTAGGGTTTAGGGTTTAGGGTTTAGGGTTTAGGGTTCAGGGTTTAGGACAGCATTCCACTTCCCTGCATTGCTTCTGCAAGAACAACATCTGTTTTAGGGTTTAGGGATTCGGGCTTGTGATGTCTGGGATTCGAAGAAGGAAGTCAGAACGCAGACTAGCCCCTAAACCCTAAACCCTCAACCCTAAACCCCAATAGCAGAGCCAGAGAGCCAGTTGAGGTGGCGCCATTTGCTGCACCCACGCCATCACTGCCTTGGCCGGTGAGGGAGCTGCTGCCGATGCACGACATGTGGCTTGACCGAGAACTGCTGCCTCAAAGCGGGGGAAGCGAAGGCCCAAAGCAGATTCGGACTTGGTCACCCTAAACCCTAAACCCTAAACCCTAAACCCTTTGGATTCCCCCCCAAGGTCGGACACCTTTCAGCTGAGCTTCCAGACTCTTGGCGGATTTTCAGACTTTACCGGGCTCTAAGCACAAAACCCCTTAAGGCAAGATTGGGGCGGGGGGGGGGGGCTTTGGAGGACAAAATGGATTGACGTGTTTGGTGCTTTGGGTTTGACGGTTTGAGGCCAGTACGACATTATGTGGCTTCAGGGATGTAGTGATGTCGTGAATAGACTGAGACCCTAAAGTGCCAAAGAGGGTTCAGGGTTGCAAAGGGATTGAGTCCATATGAGGCTGCCACCACCTGACGGCATGATTTGGAGATCTTTCTCTCTCTCTCTCTCTCTCTCTCTCTCTCTCTCTCTCTCTCTCTAGTTGTTTGCTTGTGTGCGACAGGGCTTGGAGGTGTGTGTGTGTGTGTGTCCCTTTGGCTTCGTGGAAACAAGTACGTGGGTTCCGAAGTGAGCTCAAAACGAGAAGCGTATTGGAGCGACCTGTGTACAAAACAGGGCATTTTATTCTGATATAATCTACTCTTTGCTTAAGAGCCCCCACAACATGCAACAGAACCATCCTCCCACTGCCTGTCACACTGCCCTTCTAAGGAGGAGCTTTGCCAACAACTGAACTTTGAACTTCTTAGGTTTCCTTTTTTTGGTAAGAATAATAAAGTTTAACATGCTTTTCTCCCTTGGTGATTGGAGCAGTAACAACCTAAACTCTACAGAAGGGGAACAAGGGCCTACTGTGAGTGATATAGTCTACAGCAATCGAAAAGTGTAGAATTTAATGAAGGAGGAAGCCCCTAACCCCGAAACCCTAAACCCTAAACCCTAAACCCTAAACCCTAAACCCCAAACCCCAAACCCCAAACCCCAAACCCCAAACCCCAAACCCCAAACCCCAAACCCCAAACCCCAAACCCCAAACCCCTCCCCCCCCCCCACGTCAGTTCCCTTGCCTTGTGCGAGAGCGTGAGAGGAACAGCCTGGAGTTCATCATGGGCTTTCGGCAAGCCCACCAGGTGCTTGGATCCGAACCACTGTGTTTAGGGTTTAGGGTTCAGTGTGTGTGGTGTTTAGGGTTTAGGGTTTAGGGTTTGCTGTTACCGGGCTGCTTCATCACGAGGCCTGTTGCAAAAAGGGCTTTGGGTTCAGGGGTAGATTGTGATCGGACGCTATCCTTCTACTGATGCGCAGATGAACGGAAGGGTGCCCGTATGCTTCGAAAGTACCAGAAGCCAGGTTTCCTTTTCGGTGCGGGCTTCGGGCTTTCAATCCTTTAGGGTTTGGCATTCGGGCTTTAGGGTTTAGAATGTGTTTAGGGTCTGAGTGACCCTAAACCCTAAACCCTAAACCCTAAACCCTAAACCCCTAACCCTAAACCCTAAACCCTCGGACTTCTTTGGAACACTCGGCAAAATCCAGTCTCAAGACTACGTCAGGGCCACGGGCTGGAGCGCTATCAAGACAAAATCGAGCTCACGGAGGCCGGGCAGAATTTCAAGGGTTAGGGTTTAGGGTTTAGGGTTTAGGGTTTAGGGTTTAGGGTTTAGGGTTTAGGGTTTAGGGTTTAGGTTTAGGGTTTAGGGTTTAGGGTTTAGGGTTCAGGGTTCAGGGTTCAGGGTTCAGGGTTTAGGGTTTAGGGTCTAGGGGCCTTTGGCTTTCGGACGGTGTAGGGTTTGGGGCTAAATATGCGGGGAACATGGGGGAACTTCTGAGAGAGGGAGCTTGTTGCCGGAACCTATGGGCTCTTTGCTGAATGTGTATAGCCGTACTATATTCGGGTCCCCGGGCGCCAAAATGAACCCCGAAACTCCTTATACTACTAGAACTCCAAGTAGGTAGTATATGGGGGGGTTTACGGAAGTAAGGGACCCCTAATATAATAAAACCCAAATAGTAGGATTCCTTCATACTAAGGACCCCAATAAGGAATTGCGCAAGCCCCCCCCCCCCCCCCCATTTGAGCCATAAACCTCTTTAGGGCTCCTTTGGTCCCCATGGGATGGGCATCGGCTCATCATCTGAATCTGCCTCGGGGTAGCCTGTGCCCGAAACCCTAAACCCCAAACCCTGAACCCCAAACCCTAAACCCTAAGCCCTAAACCCTAAACCCTAAACCTTAAACCTGTAGGACTGGGACACGTCTGGAATTTTTTTGACTTCTATGTTTTCAGGTATTCCGACAGCGGAAGCTGCCCGTCCCGCGGACATTCTACGCTGCGTATGGTATGGACTTTGACGTCCGTCCCACGATAGAGGCAGGGGGCGGGATTGTAGGTTTGATGACAATTCTATTTCACCCTAGACCCTAAATGCTAAAACCCTCAGCCCTACACCCTAAACCCTCACCCTATAAACCCTAAATCCTAAACCCCTCTCATTTTCTGATTCTCGCATGTGACATTTGCGTTCGAGCGCCTCGTCAATGATCCTGCTGGGGCCACGTGCTGGAAAAACTAGTTGTGCTGTTCCTGTACTACTATTTGCAGAAGAACCCACAATTCTTCCTTACAAGGGTAATGAAGGGATTACTGTTTGTTTATTTGGGGCGGGGTTCTTAAGCAGGTTAGTGTAGGAGCCTTGCATGACCCGAAGCTCACCATAATCGTGCACCCGAATCGGCTCGGCTAAATCCTTCCTCGAAAGTCCTGAACCCCCTAAATGCTAAACCTTAAACCGTAACCCTAAACCCTAAACCCTAGACCCTGCCGCCCCCGAAGCGCCTGGACACTGAAACCTAAACCCAAGGCTTTGGACAGAAGAGGCCGCAGTTATGTGGCCAAGGACCCGGTGGGTTTACTTTACCCCTCCCCCCCCCCCCCCCCCCCCCGGGTAGGGTTTAGGGTTTAGGGTTGAGGGTCTAGGGTCTAGGGTTTAGGGTCTAGGGTTTAGGGTTTAGGGTTTGAGGGTAAAGTCTAGGGTTTGCATGCTCGCCTGAGTGTACGGTTCAGGATTGAGGGTTTGCACGAACTACCCCTACCAGGTAGTTGTAGGGGTTTAGGGTTTAGGGTTTAGGGTTGAGGGTTTAGGGGTTCGCATCATGCTCCTGGTTCCCCAAGAGGAAAACATCTTCCTTTTTCTGTCAGGGTTGCGGGTGAAGGGCATAGACTCATAATTATTGGCCAATGAAAGACTGCCTCTCCCCGAAACAGCTCCAAGCCAAAGTAGATTTTTTGCTTGCGTCGGGATCCACAGTAAATCGCCTCGTTTGTTCAACTGCGCCTCTCTGATGTAGTCTCTTTTTATTGGTGGGGTTTTCTGGCGAGACCACCCCCCCCCCCCCCCCCCCCCCCCTAAATCAGGAAATATCCGTGTAGTTAGCGTGCCTTCTTTAAGACCTCAACCCGGTACCCCCAAATTGAGATCCCAACCCCCACACCCCTAAACCCAAAACCCTAAAGCCTAAACGGCTTCCTGGGTTCATGTAAAATCTCGTCGTGGACTTGCACTCAGGCGCTTGAAGCTTCTGAGGGGTCGGGGGGCCTGGTGTTTTGAGGGGTTAACTTAACCCTGAACCCTAAGCCCTTTTTGGGTTTAGGGTTGCATGGTTAAACCAGTAAAAGGTTTTAGGGCTTCGTTCCCGCGAGGCTTCTCATCTTTGCTGCTCGCGCGGGGTCTTCGTCATGGATGGAGGCAGCAGCACAAGCCCTCTAACCCCGAAACCCAACCTAAACCCTTCTACCCCAAGCCTGTGTGGGAGTTGGCCTCATCTCACCTCCTCCAGGATGATGCCCCTAAACCTTAAACCCCTAAACCCTAAACGTCTACTATAGTGGTAGTAGTATTCCCTAATGGTCCCCTTTGTAATTGTACTAGAATACCCCCCCAAAACCCTATTCTAATTATTCAGGCCCCTTTCGTAGCCTCCCAGAGAGTAATCTTCTCAAGGGAGAGGCCTTCGACTGTCTGGCAGAACTGAGCACTTGAGTGGTTTAGGGTTTAGGGTTTGGGGTTTCGCCCCCAGCAAAGGAGGTCCTACCTGCAGTGGGGGTAGGAAGGCCTCCAAGCTGCAACACCAAGGAGGTCCCATCCCCCTGCAAAGAGTCGGGACGGAATTTAAGGTTTCGCTCGGACCTTTTTCGCACCTCGGAGCAAAGTCTGGTGTGTGTGAAAGCGTAAAGCCCTGAAGCCCTAAACCCTAAACCCTAAACCCTAAACCCCCTGAACCGCACGGCGCAAGCATCCATTGTTTGCCTCAATCAGCCCGACAGTGTTACCCTGCAGCGTGGCCGGTCTGCAAAAAAGCCCTAAACCCTAAACCCTAAACCCTAAACCCTAAACCCTAAACCCTAAACCCTAAACCCTAAACCCTAAACCCTAAACCCTAAACCCTAAACCCTAAACCCTAAACCCTAAACCCTAAACCCTAAACCCTAAACCCAAACCAGCCCAAAGTCCTGAACCCTAACAACTTACTTTAGCAATAGTTGAACTTCAACACTTTTTGGGCTTCCTTATTTTGTAGGAAGAATGCAGTTTAGCCTCGCTTTATTCCTCGGCTGCTGGAGAAGCAAGCCAGAGCTTAGGGATTTAAAAGCAAAATGGGTACGTTAACTCCTAAGAAACAGCAAGAACATCATTTTTGCTGGGGTTCCCAGTTCAGTATGGACAGTCGAAAGCCCTGAGCCAGCCACCCTAAACCCTCAACCCTAAAAGAAGCCGCGCGAAGGCATCGATCGGTTGACCAACACCTCGCAGCCTGGCCTCGCTGGGCTGAGGGTTTGGGGTTTAGGGTTTAGGGTTTGGGGTTTGGGGTTTGGGGTTTAGGGTTTAGGGTTTAGGGTTTAGGGTTTAGGGTTTAGGGTGCCCTTTAGTGGAGGGCAGAAAAGGCTTAGATGGCGTTTAGGGTCTTCGAGGCTTCTAGGTTTCTAGGTTACATGGGCTTTCTAAGGTCCTTGGCTGATAGTGCTTCTAGGCATGTGTTGCATCGTGTCGCCGACTGCCAAGAATTTCTGAACCGCAACCCTTTGTTCAAACCTGCCGGAACCTAATCCCGAAACCCGTAACCCTAACCTGCCTGGGTAGGCCAATGGGATTTTGTGAGACTTACCTTATTTGATTTCAAGAGCGTCATATACATATATATATATATATGTAGGAGTATCTTTTGTCAGCGGTTGAACGAGGCAACCTAGCTAAGTTAAGCCCAACACTCCGAAGACCCAAACTTTAAACCCCAAACCCTAAACCCCAAACCCTAAACCCTAAGCTTAGCCCTAAACCCTAAACCCCAAACCCCAAACCCTAAACCCTAAATCCCAAACCCCAAACCCCAAACCCCAAACCCGAAACCCTAAGCTTAGCCCTAAACCCTAAACGCCAAGCCCTAAACCCTAAACCCCAAACCCTAAACCCCAAACCCTAAACCCTAAACCCTGAACCCTCAGCCCAGCGATGTCACCCCTCACTGGGAGCCCTTGAACCGCTAGGGTGAGCCCCGATGAGATTCAGCAGCAGCTGGAGGCAGCCACGGGTTTAGGGCTTATAGGTTTAGGGTTTATAGGGTTTAGGGTTTAGGGTTTATAGGGTTTTGGGTTTAGGGTTTAGGGTTTGGAGTTTTGGGTTTAGGGTTTAGGGTTTATTGTGTTTGTAAGGTTTGTAGGGTTTATAGGGTTTTAGATTTTGGGTTTGGGGTTTAGTATTTAGTATTTAGGCTCCTCCTCAAGGCATGCTGGAAAAAGGGGGCGCTTCTCTCAACATGGGTTTAGGGTTTAGGGTTTAGGGTTTAGGGGGCTGGTTGTAGCAGCAGAAATCTCAGAGCCAGACGTGCAGGAAGCCGCCCGGACGCCGCCTGGCTGTTCATCCCAAGGCCCCTAATCCCCAAACCCCTAAACCCTAAACCCTAAACCCTAAACCCTAAACCCTAAACCCTAAACCCTAAAAGCCAAGCATTTAAGCCTAGACCCTAAACTTCGGAGCTTGGCTGCTGTGGCAAGAAAACCCGGCAGGGGGCATGTCACCCTTCTTTGGTCGATGGTCCCGGCTAGCTTGGCTGGTGCACCATGCACCATGCACGAGAGACAGGCTTTGGCACACGTTGTCTGTTGCAAGTATAGTGGGTTTCAGAGAGACCTTGCTTAGGAACATGTTTTTTCAAGAGCGTGAAGGGCCAGCATGCTGCATGATTGATTATGACTTACTTCGCCGGTATGTTAAACGTCAAACTTTTTGGGTCTACTTATCTGGTAGGAATCATAAAGTTTTACCTAAACCCTAAACCCTAAACCCTAAACCCCAAACCCCAAACCCCAAACCCTAAACCCCAAACCCTAAACCCTAAAAGATATTCCAAGGCCTTTCACCACAGCCGAGATCGACCCTCGCTGCGGCGACTGGGGCACCGCTGCTCGGCCCAACCTGCTCTTCTCAGGCTACATCCCTAAGGGTTTAGGGTTTAGGGTTTGGGGTTTAGGGTTTAGGGTTTAGGGTTCAGGGTTTAGGGTTTTTTATATACTTGGGCCCCAAAGTCCATGTATAGGATGTACTTTGAGGCCCAAGTATCTAATAGTCAGGTGCATGGACCCTCAGGGCATGTTTTTAGGCGGCTTAGGGGTCTCGATCCATGCCCTAAACCCTGAACTCCAAACCCTATCCCTAAACCCTAAACCCTGAACCCTACTTGAGTCCAGAGTTTCAGCTTTGGGTCGAACAACAACTCAGCGGGGTGGCTTGGCTACTTGTCTGTGGGTACATCAACATCCAGGTCTCCCTTACTTTGGGGCCGCTCCTCCCCTATTGTTTGCTTAAGACCCCCAAAAGAATTTATCATATCATAATCCCTATATTGCCCTTATAAGGAAGAGTCTTTTATTTGCTTAAGACCCCCCAAAAGACTAAAACATCATAATCCCTATATTGCCCTTATAAGGAAGAAACTTTTATTTGCTTTCGAGTTCTTAAGCAATTAGGAGTCCTTGGCTTCTCTCAGAAAGCTCATGTGCAAGCATTGCGGGAGGTCTGGTCGAGGTTTGTTTGCTCGGTAGGCCCTTGGAGCATTATGCATTTTCCTGTCCTGCATGGGTTTCAGATGATCATGTTCAGAAATCAGAGGTGTTAAGGGGCCATCCTAGTTCAGGGCTTAGGAGTGTGTTGGGCTCTTCAACCCAAACCATGAACTCTAAATCCTGAAGGTAGGACATTTGAATCCTCTACCTCCGATACCAGGAGGTGAGACCCATACGCTTTCGTAACGCCCGCAGGCTCTATCAACCCTACACACCCTCTCAGCCTAGATAAACACCTCAAACCCTAAACCCTAAACACCAAACCCTAAACCCTAAACCCCAAACCCCAAACCCCAAACCCCAAACCCCAAACCCTAAACCCTAAACCCTAAACCCTAAACCCTAAACCCTAAACCCTAAACCCTAAACCCTAAACCCTAAACCCTAAACCCTAAACCCTAAACCCTAACCCTAAACCCTAAACCCCAAACCCTGAACATCCTGTAAGCGCTAAATCCCAGACTGACACTGAGCGCTGGTACAGGTGCAAGCGGGGCGCAGGCCGGGAGTACTCATCGAGGAGAGCCAAAGCGCAAGCCCAAATGACAAAATCCCTAGCCCTAAACCCTAAACCCTATAAATTCTAAACCCTAAACCCTAACCCTAAACCCTAGCCCTAAACCCTATATAAACCCTAAACCCTAAACCCTAGTCCTTCCTGGAGGTTCTTCGCGAGAAATCAGAGGGCCCTTACTTATCGGTTTCCTGCAAACAATGCAGGGCGCCCACTTCCCGACAGAACTGGTAAGTTGAGCCTTAACAGAAGGGTATAGATGGTTGTAGGCGGGTTTGTGGGACTTCACACAAGACATGTATCCGATCGCAGCATTGATATCCTCATTCAAAGAAGCAGTAGCAGTGTGCGGTTTTCACACTCAACTTCGACGTCTTTGCCTGCCATAACGTCAAGACTTTCCCTAAAACCGTGAGTTTTTACGAGCACTTGGCGGTTTGCCTGTGCACTTTTCAGCAAGCTTGCACCGCTTCAGACAAGGGGTTGGTCTTGTGTCCGTCTTCAAGTAGGATACGCGAATATAAGATGCACAGCCCTCACCACCAGAGCTGCCGCACCCGATGTGCGGTTGCTCCACTAGGTAGGCCCTTGGGATATTTCATGAAATTATTGGGGTAGATCAGGGTAGAGGAACCAGAAATCGTTTAGGGTTCATTGGGTCCTTACAGCTCCTTAAGCCTGCAAGCCTCGAACTGTACTTGTAACCATGCCAGGGCACTTAAGGGGCGTACAAGTTTATTATAAAGTACAGTTATTAGTGGTGAAGAGGTACCATGAGCCTCCAAGTAGCCCTAAACCCTAAACCCTAAACCCTAAACCCTACGCCCTAAGGAAAGTAGGGCTGCTCTAAAGCATGGAGGAGCTCCTGGTACCCTCCCTCCCCTTGCACAGCCTCTTGGCCCAGCCACCTGGCCTCTGCTTATTGACCTGGGACCCAGACTAGGGTTTAGGGTTTAGGGTTTGGGGTTTAGGGTTTAGGGTTTAGGGTTTAGGGTTTAGGGTTTAGGGTTTAGGGTTAGGCCCGTATCCCACCCCTTATACTAACAAATCCTGAATAGGGATTATACTAGGGGGGGGTACTAGAATCCCTATGAAGGACTGTAAGTATAAGGGGGAACATCCCAACTTATCTTTTTTTTTTGGGGGGGGGGGGGGGGGGGGGGGGGGGGTTAGGTTCCCTTGATAACTTGGGGGCCCAGTGGTACCCTTTTCCCTTTTTTTGGTTCAAGGTTCCCTTGTAAAGTAACCCCAAACAGGGCGCCCTTATGATAAGGTGGCTACAGGGCTACGTACCCCTTTAAGCCAGTAGGGCCACCCCTTGTATTCCTAGGTTACTGTTGGGTGTATTGACATGTTGAGAGCTAGGGGGAGTAGACTAGGGGTTTGGGGCGTGGTTCAGAAGTTCAGAACTCTTGTCTTCAGGCTGTTTGCTCTAGCACTAGGGAGGAGGGGGGCGAGGGCAGAGTGAGGGTCCTTCCGCTGACTGTCTGAATCGGGCTTGCTGAAGGGGATAGAGAGAGAGAGAGAGAGAGAGAGCTGTAGAAGGGCTTGGCAAAACACGCCAAGAGTGCGCCGGCTCTGGCAGTCTCACATGGCATGGCTGGGATACTCAAAAGCTCCAAAAAAGGCGCGGGAAGGAGTATCAGAAGAAGATGTGGTTAGGGAGGGGGTCCTGTGATTCAAGGTACCTGAAACCCTAGACCCTAAACCCTCAAAGCCACCTCTAAAAACCCTAAGCCCCGAAGCACTAGAAGCTCTACACCCTAAACGCTAAACCCTGTAAACCCTAAACCCCAAACCCCAACCCTGAACCCTATGAACCCTATAAACCCTATAAACCCTATAATCACTATAAACCCTATAAATCCTATAAACCCTATAAACCTTATGAACCCTATAAACCCTGTAAACCCTATAAACCCTAAACCCTAAACCCCAAACCCCAAACCCTAAACCCTAAACCCTATAAACCCTAAACCCTAAACACTAAACCCTAAACCCTCCAAGCCATCCCGAGGACTGAAGCCGAAGACTGGGTTGCGCCCGACAGCTTGGCTTGTCATCTCGTCGCCCGGCCATTTCATTCCCAGGGCCTCACAGAAGATGGGGGGGTTTTGCTTGGGGGGGGGGGGGGGGGGGGGGGTTAGGGTTTAGGGTTTAGGGTTTAGGGTTTAGGGTTTAGGGTTTAGGGTTCAGGTGTACTTTTGGGCCTGAAGTTTTTGATTTGGTGAGGGATACCCTGCAAGTGCCTGTTTCGAGCCAGTGTGCAGCGAACCTTGCTAGGACCCCTGAGAGGATCCAACAAGTAGAACCCCCAGTAGAACTTTAGGGTTTAGGGTTTGGGGTTTGGGGTTTAGGGTTTAGGGTTTAGGGTTCTACTATTGGGTCATTCTTAGGAAACCTTAAAGGGATCTATTTGTTGGATCCTCCCAGGGGTCTGGGAGGGAGGCCTTTGCGATGTTTTCATGGTTTCCCCTATTGGGTTGAAAAGGGTTACATGTATACAGATTTTTTTTCAGAGGGTTGCAGGGCCATCCTAAGCCCTAACCCCTAAACCCTAAACCGCTAACCCTAAACCCGAAACCCTAATCCCAAATCCCCAATCCCTAAACCCTAAACCCTAAACCCTAAACCCTAAACCCTAAACCCTAAACCCATCCATGAAGGTGTGGTCGGTGCTCTTCATGTGCAGCTGGGAGATTAAGGCCGAGCACTCTTTATAGGGTTCTTAAGGGAGAGGGGTTCGGAAAACCCTAAACCCTAAACCCGAGGGTTCTTGGGGGTAGGTACCTAGGGAACCTTAGGGAAGGTTAGGGAGCCTTGGGGAGTCGTAGGGAGCATTATGGAACTTTGGGTTGCATACCCCCCTTGAACCCCCCTGACTTAAGAACCGGGTTTACGGTTTTTGGTTTGGGGTTTAGGGTTTGGGGTTTAGGGTTTAGGGTTTAGGTTTCAAGCCTGCTGCAACAGGGTTTAGGGCTCATGGGGTCTTCGGGATGTAAGGTTGAGGTCTGAGTCCATATCTCGCCTCTCGGATTTTGGGTTGAGCCGCTTGCATCTGCGGGACATCCCGAAGGTTCATGCGTCGATACAAGCGGGGATACTTCATGGTGCTTCTCAACCAACTATAACTGTACTTTTAACCCACTTATAAGCCCCTTAAGTGCCCTAACATGGTCATAAGTACCGTTATAATTGGTTTTCAAGTACCATGAACCTCCAAGTATGGGAATCTCAAGTCAATTAGAACCAACCATAGCCCAAGTTACCCTGCTTATAACCCAAGCTTGTAGCAGCTACCCATGAACCTCCAAGCACACCAGAGAACCTACCAAAATGCCCTACGAAACCCTAAACCTTAAAACCCTAAAGAAACCCAAAACCCATCAAGCCCCTTAAGCCTCGAACGAGAGGTTCGCCTGCCAACTGGAGAGAAGAAAGCAGTGCATCTTGGCTCACTACAGTAGTAGTCGGGGTTTACGGTGGAGGGTTTAAGGGTTTGGGATATCCCAAATTTCCCCCTGCTGAATTTAAGAGCGTGATATTCAGGAGGTTGTTTTTCAGAGAGACGTTTGAGGGCCATCCTGGCGCAGAGATGGAGAGAGAGCCTGAGAGGGGATTCCCAAGCACGCCGCAGCAGAGGAAGAAGAAGAAGAAGAAGAAGAAGAAGAGAAGAAGAAGAGAAGAAGAAGAAGAATAAGAAGAAAAAGCAGAGGAGCCAGAGAGAGAGAGAGAGAGACAGACAAAGGGCGAATCCTCTTCACTCTGCAGGCACGGATTCCACCCTCCACTAAAGTTTACGGGCATGGCATACCCCAAATCCAAAACCTTAACGCCTAAGCAGGGGTTTAGGGTGACAGGGGTTTAGAGGGTAAAGGGTTTAGGTCAGTGTTTTGGGTAAAGGGTTTAGAGGGTTTATGGTAAAGGGCTTTGGGTTTTTCAAAGGTTGAGGCGATCGGTTTAGGCTTTAGGGGTTTTGAGGTCGGGGGGTGGAGGGGGCTTGGGGGGTTAGGGTTTCGGGGTTTGCGGACTTTATGTTTAGGTTGTTGACGCTCACACCCGTGCACGCCGGCAAGGTCAACAGGTTCAGGCGGTTCAGGGTTTTAGGAATTTTGGGGCTTTATTTCTCTAACCCCTTTGCCCTAAACCCCTAAACAACCCCTAACCCCCTTATCCAAAATCCTGAACTCCTGAGCCCCTTACCCAAAGCCCCAAACCCCCCCTTGCCCTAAAACCCATAACTTGGTCATAGCTGGGTATCAATTTACATGTTTACGGGTACTGAAACCCAATAAGGAATATACAACTGCATTTTAAATACGATCCCGACCATGAACTAGTAAACCCCTAATTGAAATCTAAAGCTCTGCACCCTAAAGCCCTTCTTCTCCGTCGCAGAGCTGCCACGCCCCTCAGGCCCCTGGGCGAAGTCTTCCGCGACGGCTCGTGCCTGCGATGTAAGGTGCCGCTGCCGCTGCAGGACCCTCAAACCTAAACCCTTAACCCTTAGCCCTAAACCCTAAACCCTAAACCCTAAACCCTAAAAGCTCTCAGGTTCTTAAGGTCATAAGGTTTATTCAAGGTCTCGGACCGCCTACGGAAGCATCTTCGATTATGTTGCTGCTGGGAAAGCCCAGGAGGATTGTTGTGGGGGTTTAGGGTTTAGGGTTTAGGGTTTAGGGTTTAGGGTTAGGGTTTAGGGTCAACAAAAGGGTTTCTGACAATGGGGGAACCCTTTTGTGTCGCTTCAAGGGGGTTCTATTCTAACTTGGGGAATACAAGGGGTACGTACCCCACTGTGGGAAATACCCATATGTATGTGCATATAGATAGTAGTACCCTATAAACCCTAAACCTTTTGGTAAACCCTTATCCGGATGAGGAAATGAATAATTTCGTGGATGAATACAACATGAGTATATATTTATACAACACACACACATACATTCTTGTATATGTGTATATATATACACACCTGCATATGCACATGGATAAAGAACGAATTTTGGCGCATATATGTATGTGCATATGTGTAGAACAAATTCTGTTCATTGCGGGCCCCCAAGCGTAGGGACTGAGTTGGAGTTGAGGGTTTAGGGTTTAGGGTTTAGGGCTTAGTGGGGTGGAGGTTGCCCGTACTAAGACAGCTGACGAGTGGAGGACTGGCAATCCACGGTGGCACTGCTGGAGACAATGCTGCCACACACCGACTACGCGCTTCGGGCTGCTTAGGACTGACTGAGAGAGGGAGAGAGGGAGCCCTAAACCCCAAACCCTGAACCCTGACCCTGAACCCTGAACCCTGAACCCTGAACCCTGAACCCTGAACCCTGAACCTGAACCCTAACCCCGAACCCTGAACCCTAAACCCACAAAACATGAAAATCTTGGCCTTCTCCGCGGAGCACCGCTATATCTTTCTGAGGTACGGATCTCGGTGTTTATGAAGGAGGGATGGCCCGTCATCAACGAGGTAGTGCCTCGTCCGTTTTTTTTCTGGGGATACCAGAAGGTTGGTAGAGGTTTAGGGTTTAGGGTTTAGGGTTTGTTCGTAGGCGACTCTTTGGTAGATGTGCTCTGTGGGTATAAGTAGGGCAACTTGGGTTTCATCTGGTCATGCGTCATAATCTCTTGAAGCGAATTGTACTTGCAGCCTTCAAGTACCTTATTCTGAGGCCACTTGGCCTCTCCCAAGTAGTGACGTGACGGAAAGTCGGATGTGATGCAAACCCCAACCCGTGCACCTGAAATCAAACGTACCTGTCGCCGGGAGTTTCAATGAACAACCGCGGTGAAAGAGCAAGAGCGAGAGAGAGAGAGAGAGAGAGAGAGAGAGAGAGAGAGAGAGCGAGAGAGGGGGAGAGAGCGAGAGAGAGGAGAGAAGAGGGAGGAGAGAAGAGACCTGAAAACTTGAGCACAGTCCTCACATCCCAACCCTTCTCCCCAAGCCCTATCCCTAAACCCGACAATGCCGAATGAAATCCTCAACCCCAAACCCGAATACCCTGCTAAGCCGAGTGAAAACTTGAGGAGTAGGCCCTTATTTCCTTTTTTTAGGGTTGGGGTACCCTTACAATCCCCTGAACACCACAAAGGGTACTGCTATTCTTACCCTAAACCCTAAACCCTAAACCCTAAACCCTAAACCCTAAACCCTAAACCCTAAACCCTAAACCTGAGGAGTACACCACCGGAGGGCTAGAAGTGATCTACATTCCTCTGGCGCGCGAGTGGACCATGCGTTGGCTCGAAGGCAGCCCTTTGTCCCCTTGAGGCTTCAGGAGCCTGAAGCCTAAACCCTAAATCCCAAACCCTAAGCCCTAGGCCCTAAACCCTAGACCCTAGACCCTAGACCCTAAACCCCTAAACCCTACCCTTCCACTTGGGGCTGTGAGAGCTCAGGGCACCTCGCGAGATTCAGGAGTTTAGGGTAATTTAGGGTTTAGGGTTTAGGGTAATTTAGGATAATTTAGGGTTTAGGGTTTGGGGGTTTAGAGTTTAGGTTATTTTAGGTTTGAGCATTCAGGGATTTCGGGTTTAGAGTGTTTAGGGTAGTAGGTATTTCTACGTTACGCGGGCCTGCCCACTTGACGACTCCTGTGTTGTGCGGTCTTCACAAGCTCGAGAATACGGAGCGTAGCCTCACGCATGGCTAGACCTCTGGGGTGTCTTGGCGAGACGCTGGTGAGAGCCATTGCCAGCTTCACTACAAACTGCGCCTGGCTGGACGCGTGAGCCCGCGCAAGATCCACCTGCCTTCTGGCTGGTGGTTTGGTTCCTATGTGACCGAGCCAGGGGCTGCCATCTGTGGTCTGGAATTGAGGCGTTGCCAGCAGTATGCAAGGTACATTAATTCAAGGACATTCTATGGTGTTGTATCTGATGATAATGATTACCCCGAAACCCCAAACCCCAAACCCCAAACCCCAAACCCCAAACCCCAAACCCTAAACCCTGAACCCTAACTTGGGCTACACCGCCCCCGGAAGCTGCCCCAGTTCTTCCGAGGAGTTGGGGATCTTGGTATTGCGGCTTCTGTGCGTGGTTTCTCCGGCGATGTCACTAACTAGGACCCAGAGTAGGCCCTTCTTGGGTTCAGGGTTTAGGGTTTAGGGTTTAGGGTTTAGGGTTTAGGGTTTAGGGCTAGGACCCGGAGTGGGCCCCCTTTTTTCCCTTGTTATCGGTGTCTCTCGGCTCGCTGATAAGCCACTTTGAACCCAAAAGGATGCCCTTTGCATTCCTAGGTTGTTGTTGGGGCTCTAGATGAGAATTGCGAGTTACTGTGCCCTGAAAGCACCAGCATCCGCCCCATAAGTCCGAGCTTGGAACCTGAACCCTCAAGTGCTTACGGCCCTCAGCCCAAGGTTATTTTTTTAGGGTTATTTGGGTTTAGGGTTTAGGGTTTTGAGAGACCCTACTTGAAATCTCTAAACCATACAAAGACCTGCTGATCCTCCCGCAAGCCGCCCGAACGCCACGGTTTAGGGTTTAGGGTTTAGGGTTTAGGGTTTGGGGTTTAGGGTTTAGGGTTTAGGGTTTAAGCCTGGCAGAGGCTACTACAGGTTCCTCACCTGAGCCGGCCGAGGGACGAGGCGGGTTTAGGGTTTAGAGGGGTTTAGGGTTTCGGGTTTAGGGCTTGGGGTTTAGGGTTTTGGGTTTCGGGTTTTGGGTTTGGGGTTTAATTATAGGGTCTTGGAGGGTTCGTAGGGTCTATGGTGTTTTAATACGCTCTACAGGGTTGACGGGGGTTTAGAGGGTTTATAGGGTTTGTAGGATTTGTGGTGTTTGTAGGTTGATTAGGGTTTGTAGGGCTTAGAGGGTTTAGAGGGTTTAGAGGGTTTAGAGGGTTTAGAGGGTCTAAAGGGTTTAGTTAGCATTAGGGTTTCTATAGGGTTGTGGATTCAGCAGAAAAGGGTGCGGCGTTTAGGGCTTCGCGTTTAGAGTTTAGGGCTCAGGGTTCAGGGTTTTGGGGTTAAGGCCTGGGAAGCCGGGTTTCCGTGAAACCCTATAAAGCCCTAACCTCAAATCCCAAATCGCACCCCTTTCCCTAAACCCAAACCCTAAGCCCTAAACCCAAACCCTAAACCCTAAACCCTAAACCCTAAACCCTAAACCCTAAACCCTAAACCCTAAACCCTAAACCCTAAACCCTAAACCCTAAACCAGAATCTGCGTCGGATACTGTGGGAGTGAGATGGTCGAACACAATTGCTGCTACAGCATGCTGGATGGTGCTGGCGTGTGGCACAGCAGCTCTGAAGTGATGGGCCCGGTGAGCTTGCGGGAATTTGTAATTCGTAATTCATGAAACCCTGCGTTAATTAGTAATTCGTAATTTACCTGCATGTGCATTTAGTGCAAAGGGATGGACCCGAGTGGGTTGAGTTTGAGTTGCCCAAATGTACATATTGCGAAGTCCGTCTCTAGTACCCAGGTTGCTTGTTTGAACTTATTGTGTTGGTAGGAGGGTGCTGAGTCGGAAGTCGCGTAATGGCAGTGGGCTCGTTTCGCATATCCAGTGAGGATACGGTGTAGGTTTGGGGTGGTTTGGAGTGGTAGCTGGATGTGGGTCACTGAGTCGACAGGACGATGTTTTCTTTTCGTTTGAGGGCTGTCTGCAGCAAGTGGTAGGCAGGCTCCGCGAGCTTTCTCCTCTGAACGCTATCGTTGGGTTTGTGTGTGTCCTTGGATAAGAGGGTTGAATGTCTGAACTGTAGCAGCCTTGCTTGTTCGAGAAATGGAGGAGAAGGCCAGCCAAAGTCAGGGAACCCCTGAACGAGCAGGAACGCCCGAACGACCGGAGTCCATGGTTGTTGTGGAATTTAATGTTTGTGTGTTGTTTATGTTACATGGGTGATGGTCGGTTAGTACGCCAGTCGCACCTCGTAATCGCCCTGCGATGTGGATTCGCCCCAGCTGTGCAGGAGTGAAAAAAAAAACCCTAAACCCTAAACCCTAAACCCCTTCCCCGCTCTGTTTGCTGTCGGTCCCGATTCAGGTGTCCAGTCTTCAGCGCAAGGCCAACTCGGAGCGCCGAGAGGCAGCCGGGGGGGGGGGGGTAGGTCTTCAAGTCTCTGTTTTTTTTAATCATCACTCTTCATGTCTGTTTGTTTTTCAGCTTTTTGTAATGCTGTTCAAGTTTCAGTTTTAGGGTTTAGGGTTTGGGGTCGGTGTCGGTTAATCAGTAGTTTGTTGTTTGTTTTCCGGCCTTGGGTTTTGCGGCAGCGGTTTCGGACTTGGAGCTTGCTGGGCTTTCGGGTCCTACTCGTGCTTAGGCTTTACAATTTTTGGGGCTGAGACTCCCGTTTTGCTTCATTCAGACCAACTGGCTGCTGCGCTACCTGGGTAGCTGTCCCTATAGGACCCCTCCCCTCCCCCCCCCCCCCCCCAAAAAAATGAAACCGAAACCCCCCAAACCCCAAACTAAGGAACCCGCCCCCCCCCCCCCCCCCCCCCCCCGCCGACAAGCACCGCGCACCACGCAGAATACCTTTAGGGTTTAGGGTTTAGGGTTTAGAGTTTAGGGTTTAGGGTTTAGGGTTTAGGGTTTAGGGTCTAGGGTTTAGGGTTTAGGGTTTAGGGTTTAGGGCTGCAGCAAGGGACCTTACCAGCTTCGGCATGAACTCGGACTTGCCCCTGGAGCCCATATGGTGCATTGCAGAGCACTTCGAGGAGTGGGGCTTTATCCTCCTAGGGTTTAGGGTTTAGGGTTTAGGGTTTAGGGTCTAGGGTCTAGGGTCTAGGGTCTACGGTTTAGGGTAACGACTTTATCCTCCTAATTAAACCCCAATTATGACCCGAGGCCCTAAACACTCTCACCCGCTCCTCTCCCCCCAAAGGCCCCAATTCCCCATCGGCAGACCCAATCAACGCCTAAGCCACTTTTCCGACAAAACAGACCCCCTAAAACCTAAAATCTAAACCCTAAACCCTAAACCCTAAGGCCTACCGCTTACGACCCCTTTTGCCCCAGTGTTTACGACCCTTTCCATGAGCAAACGGACTTTGGGCTGCCAGCACACTAAACCCTACACCCTAAACCCTAAACCCTAAACCCTGAACCCTAACCCCGCAACTTGTCTGCAGGAGGACCCTCGGCTGCAGAGCTCCCTGATGACCTGCCGCGACAGAGAAGGAGTGCAAGGTTCTGGCATCTGCAGGCCGCCCCAGAGAGCCCACTGCTCCTGAATTAACTACTACTTGCTTAAGAACCCAGGGTTTAGGGTTTAGGGTTTAGGGTTTAGGGTTTAGGGTTTAGGGTTTAGGGTTTAGGGTTTAGCTTTTAGGGCTTAGGGTTTAGGGTTAAAATTTAAAATATTCGTCCGTATTAAGGGTAATGCAGGGATTATTATCGTTTATTCTTTTGAGGTTCTTAAGCAAATAGTAGTTAAGGAATATACCATAAATAATGCAGGGATCCTTAAGATGATTTGAAGGTATGTTCCTTGTTTAAGGAGCTTTGGGCTCTGTGGGTCTGCGAGCTCGAAGCTCCTTCCGACGGTCCGAGCTCGCGCGCCGTTAGAAGGGTGACAAAATGAGATGTCATGGTCTACTAAACCCTAAACCCTAAACCCTAAACCCTAAACCCTGTGGTGTTCTAGGGTTTACATCTGAGGGATGGTCCATGGTCCCTTAGTTTAGTCCTTTGCCTTCTTTGAAGGCTTCTGAAGTACGTGCCCTTCAGCGTTATAGAATATGTGAGAAAAGCTACAGGGTTTAGGGTTTAGGGTTGCTTGAGGGACCATGTATTCTACGCTTGGATTACAGGGTTCATGGGGCTGTGTCGAGCAACAAGTGAGCTTCACACACCACAGAGGCAGAGGCAGCCAACCCATGTGAATCGACATCGATTCAGGCTTTCCCCCCTACGGTACCTAAAAAGGGACTGCTTGGGTCTTAACGTACTTCCTTTGTAGGTACTTTGGGGTCCAGGTATAACAATCAGGTACATGGACCCTTACGGCTTGTTAGGCCCTTGACAAGTTTCGGGTCTTGGAGCGTTCACATGGCCACAAGCCGCGCAGAAATCCCCCTATAGGATTACCCCAAACCCCAAACCCCAAACCCCAAACCCCAAAGCCCAAACCCCAAACCCCAAACCCCAAACCCCAAACCCCAAACCCCAAACCCTAAACCCTAAACCCTAAACCCTAAGCCCTAAACCCTAAGCCTAAACCCTAAACCCTACAAACAAAGTAGGTTTTGGGGTTCCCCAGTCGCCGGGTTTGCAACACGCCCGTGGCAGCGCCTGGCTCTCCTTGCATATTCTTCAGTAGCTTATGATAAGCTTCTTATGGTGGCCTTTGAGAAGAAATGGTTTAGGAAACAATCTCAACTTAGCCCCCTCCCCCAGACAGAACCCCAGCCTTCTGCACCCAAGTCTCTAGTACCCCAAAACCCCAGACCCTACAGCCTAAACTCCTTAAACCCTATAGGGCTTAGGGGTGAAAGTGGACCCTCGGCCACCATGGTTCAGGGTTTAGGGTTTTAGCTGAGAGGGCGCCCCCGCATGAACTGAAGCTCCCCATGTTCTCCGAGCACCTCACGGCAGGGCGCTCAGTGCTCCTGCTGCTCCAAGCCCTTTTCTGGGTTGGTTTAGTGTTTAGGGCTTATGGCCTTTTCGGGTTTAGGGTTTGGCTACCCCAGGAGACCTGAGGCAGAAAAAGGCTTTAGGGTTTAGCGTTTAGGGATATTACAGAAGGCTTAGAGGCTATACACTTAGCGGGTTGGCCTTGGCCGTGCCCATCAAGCAAGCTGTGTTTACGCTGAACATACGGTCAATCCTTATAGGTTTAGGGTTTAGGGTTTAATTAAGGTGTCAAGGTTTGAATGGGTGCAGTGGAGGGTGGTGGTGAGCAGATCACGAGGGCACGATATACTGCAGCCCTCAAGCAAGAACAAAGGGGGGAGCGCGCTGACACAAGGCTTACTTGCACGATCCTCCATGGTTCCCCGATTGAGGGTTTTGGGTTTTGGGTTTTGGGTTGTGGGTTCACGCATAGATAGTAAGTTCTCGGGTCATGGCCCCACAGTCAGGTCATCCTAGACCCTATACCCTCCATACCTGCACCTTTTCCGAAATCCTACACCTGAACCCGAACCCTTATAGACACAAACCTTGACCCTGCACCTGAATCCCTAAACCTTAAACCCTAGACCCTAGACCTTAAACCCTCAACCCTCAACCCTAAACCCTCAACCCTAAACCCTAAACCCTAAACCCTAAACCTATACCCTAATCTCAAGCGCAACTCAGGAGGAGCTGGACTCGCTGCCGCCCCTGCTAGGACACGACCCAGGGTTCCGGGGTTTAGGGCTTAGGGTTTAGGGTTTAGGGTTTAGGCTTGTGGGTTTATAGGGTTTAAGGCTTAGGGTTTAGGCTTGTGGGTTTAGAGTGCCGGGGTTGCAGAGGTTTTGGGGTTGTGTAGGGTTTCGGGGTGCAGGGGTTGTGGGGGTTTGGCGGGTGGGGCGTTTCGTCAAGCTTACGGGACCCTAACCCTAAAACCCGATGGATGGGATTTGGATAGATCACAGCGTGTAGGGACAGGGGGGAAGCTTCTGGGTGTGGGGACACC